AGAGGAGAACGCAAAAAAAGAGAAGACCGTGGTTTTTACGACCGATGTGCGAGGTATTTTTGGACAGAATATTTTGGAAAGGAAAATAGAGTACATGATTATTGATCCCGGACGTTTTATTCTTGACAGTATATTATAGAGATTATTCTAAACCAAATGAAAATATGTGGTCCCCGGGTACTGTAAAAAGCCGGTTCTTCTGTGTTTGAGGTACCTAGAAATTCCTAATAATACCATCGTTAAAAGAAACAGCGATCAGATTCGTAAAAAAAGGGTGCACCAGCCAACGTATCAGTTCCAGAAATAAACACAGAAGGCATCTAGTTCCATGGTATCTGGTGAAAATGAAAACATTTTACCGGAGCAAAAAATTCAAGGTTGTGAGCCCGCGACAAGTACCCATGTTTCTCCTAGGTACAATTTACGGTTAAGAAAATAGTTTTTTTGAACCGCTAGTAATTTACCTGCTATTTATTTCCTTCTTGTCGACTTTTAACCTTCCAGTACTCGCGCGGGGAAAATCACGTAGGTACTCGCGTGGGGTACTGAGCTACCCCAACCTGTTTTTGTGTTTTTTAATTTAAATAAAACAATAGTTGGAGCTTTTCTTTGAAAAATATATTCACACAATTTTTCTAAATGCTTTATAACAGAACAAAAAATATTCACTTAATATTTATATAAAATCCTAACTAACAAATCAGGTCTCTGAAGGTATAATATGGCAAAAGCATCTATTTGCTGTCACAATTGGTTTCTATTCCTCTGCTATCAAGGCAATTACGGCATACGAAATTTTGATGAATTTTACGCATGTAATCGGCGTTTTTCTATCAGCTGATCTGGGACATAAATAGCACCTACCCTTTCCAAGTTTTTGTTTCTTTGTAGTAGCCTTGTCTGTTGCTAGAGTAGTTTCCTCAATGTTCAGTTCCTTTCATTATTTGTGGCCGTACTAACTCTGCAGCTAACTCTTGCAGGAAATGTTCTCTGTTTGGTTTTTCAAAATTCATAGCAAAGTGCGTTGATACCAGCAATATTTAGAATGTCAAAGAAAACTGCCAGAGGCCAACATCGGCTATTTCTAGCCACGTCATACTGGGCACAAAGTTTGTCTACGACATCCACTCCAGATTTAGTTCTGTTGTATTCCAGGATTATTTCAGGTTCCAAGCATTCCCTATCAACCTCGTCATCGTGGTGCATTGATGAAATCAGCAATACATGTTTGCCTTTTTTTGGAACGTAAGACAGCAAGGTAAGATCTGATTGAAAGGCAAACATACTACTCTGTCCTGGTCTAGAAGCAGTCTGTGTGAATTCTAATGGAATCTCTCTCTTATATTTTTCCTGAGCGTACCAACCATAGTCAATTTATCTTTCAATAAGTCCCTAGCAAGAGGTACACTGGAAAACCAATCATCCATTGTAATGTTACGACCTGTACCTTTTAGAGGCTCAACTAACCTTTTTACGACATCTCCAGGACTGTTACTCAAACCATACCATACCATTTCTAACCTGTATGTATACATGGCTTTGACATCGACCAATGCAAATATTTTGATTCCATATTTGCTGGGCTTATTAGGTATATATTGCCTGAAGGCGCATCTTCCTCGAAAGGCAACCAGTTGTTCATCGATGGTTAGAAAAGCGCTTGGTATCACTGAAGACTGGCAATTGTTCACAAATCGCTGAAAAATGTCCCTAATCGCTGCCAGTTTGTCATACATACGTCGATCTTCCCTAGTATTTACATCATCAAATCTGATACTTCTACACAGGAATCTGAAGCGATTATAACTCATTGTTATATATATGTTTTCAATTCCATTGCCATTTGTGTTCCATAATGTCCGAATATTCTGCCTCCCAGATTTCAAAGATCCCGCCAAATAAAGTATTCCTATAAAAGATCTTATCTCACACACGTCAGTCAATCTAGCATCACGTTCTCTATCAAAATTTGCTTGAATCTTTGCAATGTATAGATTGGTACATTTCACAACGATTTCAATCATTGAATCATCAATAAATTGGCTAAGACAGTCCATCGAGGATTTGGCGTTTTTTGCGTTGCCTACTGGCCCTGGAACTTACAATATTTTTTATTACTTTGTTCTTGACGTTGGTGGTTTGTTTTTACTCCATTTAGTTTCTGTATCCTTTCCCAAAAAATATGGACCACCGTTTTTTACAGAATCTTCTTCAGTTATCTTCGAAATATCAGCTCCCTCTTCAGACTCTTGCTCCGTATCTGAACATTCCCCTTGTACTTCCAAGTTATCTGTTTCTTGCTCCGATGGATCATCTTCACCATAAACTTCTTCGTCGTCAATGTCAAGCATTTCATTACACCATTTCAGCCATTGCTGTGGGTCTCTACTTGATAAATTTGCCATATTTTTACCTGCAATAACACCAATAAATTGCAAAAAACCTCAAAAAACAAACAAAAATACCCTTACTTCCTTGTTACTCCGATGCTCGCGAGGGGTATCTAAATACCCCAATCAAATTTCGACTCGTAGCTTACGCACCACGTGATCTCGACTGCAGCCAACTCTTAACACCAGCCTGCGTATACTACACTCGAGGAATAGACGAAACTATATGCCGATCGTCATGTCCCCCACTCCAGTATAGATAGAGATATTACTAGTGGGGTATTTGGATACCCCGCGCGAGTACTGGAAGGTTAATAAGTACAGAGATGAGATTTTGTTTTATATGTCTGTTGTTTATTTTTATACGGGAAATATGTATTTTTGGAATAAGGGTGAGGGTGTAGGGTTTAGGAATAAACTGGTATTTGTTTGTATGTTTTTGTCGGCTAGTCGGTCGACCTTGGCTAGAAAGGAGAGAAATAAATCAGTTACGAAGTAAATGGTGTTTGGTTCACACCCCCTGTTATCACAAAAAGAAAAAATATTACGATACCAAAATTGATGACAGTAAAAATAATAACAAACAGATGTGGAAAACTTTGAAAAACATTGTTTCTCATATTAGAAGAAATACATCATCTAAAATGAACTTTGAATAAGGGGTAATGACATATGAAAAAATAATAGTAGATCGAATGAATACCTATTTAATAGAAAGTGTCAATCACATTGTGAGATCAATTATTGACGGAGATCACAACCAATGTCCCATTAGATCAGATTATAATGCATCATTCAGTGAATTTAGAACAATAAATATTAATCGTCACAAGATTATATCAAAATTGAAATCAAATCAAAATAAGAGTGAGATTTTGTCTAAAAGGGTGCTTAATGAATGTTTTGATATTATTGGAGCAGGAATATTAATCCTGATAAATTACTTAGTTGTACACCAATATGCGGCCAATAAATGTTCTGTCAGATGTTGAAAAAGTCTTTGAAGAAATTATTTACGAAAGATCATCAAATTTATCCAGGGAAATAAAATTTTAACCAAACTTCAAGCTGGATTCAGGAAGAAACACTCAACTGAAATGGCAATTCAAATGGTTTTAGAGAACTGGAGATGTATGGACAATATGAAACATACAGTGACAGTATTTTTGGACTTCAAAAGGGTGTTTGAAACTTCTGGCAGGGATAAATTACTTACAAAATTGTATCGCTATGGATTTAAAGGATCTGTATTCAAAATTCTTCAAAAGTACTCAATTGACAGAAGTCAAAAAACCAAAATTTAATATACTTTATGAAGCTCAAAAAATATTTATGATGGTGTTCCACAAGGTAGTAAACTAGGTCCACTACTAGTTATTTTATACATTAATGACATTTGTAATATTTTAGATTATTGTAAAATTCATATATTTGCAGATGATACAGTAAAATACATATCACATGAAAATATAGACACTGCTTAGAAAATGCTAAATTCTGACTTGTCAAAAATCATAAATTGGTTAAATGTAAATAAACTAAAATTGGATGCTTCTTAAACAAAATGTATGCTAATAGGGAAATACCTAAATGGAAATACTATCACAGTTAAATGGTGAAATAATTGAAAATGTTGAATCAATTAAATATTTAGGTATATATATATTGATCGTAAACTAAGGTCTGAGGATCACTATTTCAAAAATTGCCAAAAAATTACTTTTTTAGACCTTCTCATAGTTTTAATACATATTACAAAAAAAATGGTTTATAATTATCACATTTGCTACATTGTTAAACTATCTTGTTCACTGCCACTGAAGCTGTATTCTCAAAATTACAAATTCTGTGAAATAAAGCTATGAGAATAATATTGAATATAATATACAACATTGTCTATGCGATGTGTACGTTGTTGGGAAACAAATATAAAACAGAAACTAGTATCAAATTCGAAGGCGCTGTGTCTGGTGTTTAAAAATAAATACGCAGTATGTCGGCTGAAAATTTAAAGGTAATACAAGTAAATTAATTGAATTATATAGGGAGTATCCTATATCTTAGTGTTATGGCCAAACGTTCAACTTCGTTAATGGAATTTCTGAAATTGGTATTTTTTATAGATTTCAGGACTGATCAGCTGTATTGATTATTGATAAGTTTGCCTTCTTTGCCTTCTTAAAAAGTTCTTAAAACTAGAACGCATTTCTCCTCGCAATCCAATATCTTTACGCAATTCGGACAATAATTTTTCAATACCACGATCATCTCTTTCACATAAGGATGGTTTCACCCAAAAGCATTTTTTATTTTCCCAGTCACTACTCTGATATTCATTATGATAAAATCTTTGCGCTTCTGCCTTTCAGCATAAAAACGCCACATATAAAAATATGTACTCTGAAAATTTTTGGTGTGAGCTGCACGAAACAAAACAACTGAAAACTTTTTTGTCTCTTGGCAATGTGGACATACGTTTTCATTTTGTTTTGTTTCCAAAAAGTTGCTTATCTGTTGCGTTTCTGTTTTGTTCCTTGTTTTTGTTTTGCTGCTTTGATGTGGACCCGGAATTATAATGACATATGTTTTATGATTTAATAAACGACTCACCCGAAGAAAGTATGCATTTAATAAATAGAAGTCTTCTTTTTGTAGCAAAGGATACACGGTAACTGCTCTGTTGAACTCATTTTTGTTAGACAAGTCATGCAAATATTGGCTCAGTTCAAAATGCTTCAATTTGTAAGATGGTAGGCTTTGCATCTAAAAACAAAAAAAAATCATCCTATGGAATCATATCAAGTAATGCTATGGAAACTTACCTGAACTGATCCTTGACAAGTCAAACCTAAGCTATGGTAGATACATCGACCAATATTCTCACTATGATCATCAGAAATTGTATTCATTACACACCAATCTAAGTAATTTCTCACTGCCTTCAAGACCGAGTTACTGATCAATATTCCAGAATCTAAAATGATTAATAATAGAGCGAATTTTAGCATAGAATTCAGACTATGAATATTAGAAGGGCCACAGCACTGCACAAGTGATTAAAAAATAAGGCAGAAAGTTTGGTGCCACTGTTTGGATGCGAGTCCGAAGTACATCCATTTATTTTTTTGAGGCTCAAGAGTTTGCAGTGCTGATATGACACTTTGACGCCATTTTTACAAAAATATATGACAGACATTTCCAAAATAATTTCAGTTCTACATTTTCCTGACGTTTCATGATATATGCAGTGTCCAAAAAGTATGAATTCAGATTCTTAGAAACCATGCACTATATCATCCCTTTTATTCAAGAACTTTAGTTATTAAAATTTTAACCAACGATACTATTATGCCATGGACGAAAAAGTTACAGTAAAAGCAATTCCTGGGAATATAAATGCTCCTGAAACCAGTAATATGCTTTTTAAAACTAGACAATGTCATACCTAAAAAGCCTTGAAAAAAAATTTATATATTGAAATATACTCATGTTTTTAGAAATCATCCCTCTCTCTATTAGAAGTGTCATTTCCGTTATTTCATATCACTTTACACTGTCAAGTTTTCATCATCTTATCAGACTGTGGAGTTATATCAACATCAAAACCACAGGATAAGTATCAAGTGTAAAATAAAATTAAAAAGTTGCAATGTTAAGGCTTCCTTGAGCAATAAGTCGTCAAGAGATTTTATTTTCAATTTTGTAAATACCATTCCTTTTCCAGATATAAACCTCTGTAGAACGCCACTGGAAATTCAGTTGTCACCTCAAATGATAGTGTCAATGGAAAAAAAGCATCTCATTAGATCGCCATGTATGGACTAGACTAATGTAGTATAGCTAATTGTTTTGGCACCTTGCCTAACACTTAGGCCGAAAAAATGTAGTCTTGCTTAATTATGAAGAAATAAACAATTTTAGAGAAAAGCATTCCTGTTTCAATACATTTTCCAATATAACTGTTACATCATGTTAAAAATAATTCTGATAGCATATTTTTAATCAGTGACTTGAAAAACATCTACAGTGTAAACTGATAGATGGAGTATACGAGCAAGATGTCATTCCAAAATCAGATGATTTTATCAAAATCAAATAAAATATCATTCTGAACAACTATTATAGAGGGTGTACAAAAACTAGTACAAAATTAATAATATTACTTTTGCATTCCGATCAATCAAAAATGGTTATTGTGTTACATGAGCACCATCATGTGAGGGCTTGACTACTTACAGTGTTGTTAAAATTTTATTGGATTATATTGTACTATAGCCACCTCTATCTCTAAAGGAGGTGTTTTCAGAGAAAAAATGTAGTCTAAGGATATTACAAGGAAGCATCCCTTGAATTTTTGCCTAATGCTTTAGATACATCTAGTATACAGTATGGGAAAAACCATTATTATACATTATGATGAGGAAGAGAGATGGAAATATACAAAAGTATGTAGGTGCGTGAAAGACACACGATTGTAAGATCCTATGTGGCAGCATCGGAGTGTGACGGACAACGGGGTAAAGTAGAAGAGTGATAAAAGAGAGAGATGGCAGAACGGGCGCTGGCGCCTACCGCTTAGACGGATGCGCTCAACAAATGCGATTTGTTTCTCCCATTCGCAGAGTTGCCGATAGCAATATGTCATATTTCTAAGAAATCTAAGTCTACCCAAATTTCGGGAAAAATAGCTGCGGATTCCACATAAGAGTATTCCAAAAATGAAAAAAGTTCAAACTATTAAAATTGTATTAATGTTTTATGGTTCAAATCATATTTTTCATGTTTGTATATTGTTGGATAAATGATTTTGTAATCCCTATTCTTGTTTCCAGTAGAGATACAACAGTATTGAGATAAATCATGGACCGCTAGATAGGGCTACAACTACCATATGACTATCAAATAGTAGTGATAAACAGGGTTTGTTTATAGCACAGTTGCCTGGTGTGGCGAATTTGCGCCATAGGGGCGATTTGACAACTTTGAAGGACAACTATAACGGTTACTATGGCGCCCGGTATTCGGGAATCTGGCAATACCTGATGATTCCTAACGTTTATTACGCCAGATTGTTTGCTGACTTGCGCAGTACAACATGACAATCAACGTGACTGAGCACCTGGTAACCCTGGTTTAAGGTGTTATATTTAAAGAGCTTGGGGCAGTTAGGTATCTAGGTCACATTTTTTAATGTATTTCGAGAAATCCGTAATGTTGAGTAAATAGTAGATCACGTTTCTTGCTTAGTTTGCTGAACATTCTACAATAGACGTACATTTTGAGAAACAGAGATTTGGTGACGACAAAATCGTAAAAATATAACGCATTTTCGTAAAATAATTTCTTTGTTGAAATCACACCGTGGCTTGATGACCCATTGAACGAGTATAGTGTCCCCCTCCGCTTTGAATATTCGAAACACTATACTCCAGCAGCATTCAGCTTCAATGTTATCTTTATGAAGTTCTAACGTCTAGGCCATGCTGATTATAAGCTTGAATGAATCAACACTTAACTCTAAATTCCCCACAATTCGGGAAGCTCTACTCAAATTGGCAACACAGCGTATCTGCCTATTATTCTCATTCGTGATACAGGTCTGCGGTTAATGGTAGGAAATATGTACGAATAGCGATGAAAGTAGACCAGCGGATGCGCTGTTGCCAAGAAATGATTTCCCATGTATAACAATGGTTTTTCCTAAGGTGTATAAGAATCCTAAATCAAGTATAATATATGAAGTTTATAGCCTTCACTCATGTTGCTATGTAGGAAATCAGTGAACATAATTCTTAATCTAAATTCAGTATTCAAAGGATATCAGTACTGAATATTTTGTACATTAAAATCATATGAATATATCCTTATATTCATTGTGGATTTCTGTTCAAAGACATCAGAAATTCTATCAAAAGCAGTTTATACATTCTAAAACAACCAAATATGTGCATTTAGGCATTCTTTTATTACAAATATAAAATAAATAAAACAAACTTGCCTAAATTACAGAAGCTACCATCCTTTACTCTAACTCCCAAATAAACATCCATGCTAACACTGATTTGTTTTGCAACATCTTTGAGCCTCTGAGCATTGATGAATGTGTAATCATATGCAAAAAAATAATAATCATACTCTTGTAGAAAAGTGTCGCCTACATATTTGATCACTTGGAAAGGCCTATACTTAGACCTTGCATCTGTAAAGCCTACCAGTCCAGTCAAATTAAATTTTGTTTTCAATTTATATTGTGCAGTCATGAAGAATTTTATCCGATCAACCAAATGCCCAATGGTTTTGTTGATATGTATTGCTTGAGTGTTGATCTTCTCCTCAGATGTGAAAATACCAACAAAAAGTTTCTCTCTGATGCCCAGTTCTGTTGAATAATACCTTGGCCTTATTAACTTTGATTTGGATTTTCTAGTAGTTTGACTGGGCCTTTTTGGAAGCACAGGAAGTGTGACTTTGTTTTGAGTATTTGATATATTAGATATGTCTGCTCGAGCTGGCCCATGATAATTCGACGGGTTTTTATCACAGTTGATATCTTCTGCTATTTGTATCACTGAAGACACATACAAACCAATAATAATGCCAAAGATAACGTAAAAATTTTCAGAGAAAAATCTGATTATTGTATGGCGTAACTTCATGTTTTAATTTTAAAACATATCTTTACACAACTGTAAGATAAAAATAATTATTTCAAGGATCAAACAACATACTAAAAACTTTAATTGTTGCTTTGCAATGTTACCCGAACTTCACATTCTTAAATCTTTTTTTTTTAAATGTCAAAATTCTAACCACAACCACACGATCACGGAAGTTGACATCAAGATTAAGCAGAGAATAAGTGTTTGATCCAGAAAATCGTCCCAGAAACTAATACAGGAAACAAACGTTGATGGAACACATACCATAATCACATATTCAGAGGTTATTGCAGGTTTAACGTGTACACAATAGGTTACGTTAAGTGTACCATCACCGAAATAAACATTCTTAAACGTTATTTTAGTTTTAGTCGCTTTGCGACTACTTTACATTCCTAGCTGACCCACCCAACGAATTAATGCACCCACTACAGTTGTCGGTGGGTTAGGCCCCTATCGTCAGTCGTCCCTACAATTGTAGGGCGCGTTTATGGCCTCCTTGATTGTCATCATCCTTTCTCTCCTTCAAACATTTCTAGATTACACTTGTCCCGTGTCAGCGTCTGCGCTCTCCTATTGTGAAGATATGTTTTCTTTTTAAATTGTAGGAAATTTCATGCTGATAAAACATGATATAACTCAAAAGCAAGCACAATTTGGCCATTCGCCACATCGTGTGGGAGAACGCTGACGGAGTACATTTGTCCAACGTTCGCCATACGGCAGGTCCCGCACGGGTATCACGTATCTTGAAAAGTAACATTATGCCGATTTTTTTTTTGACATTATGCTGTTTTTTGACATTATGTAGGTTTTTCCACAAGATATTAACTTAGGCCCGTATCGTCAGTCGTCCCTACAATTGTAGGGTGCGTTTATGGCCTCCTTGATTGTCATACTCTTTTCTCTCCTTCAAAAATTTCTAGATTACACTCGTCCCGTGTCAGCGTCAGCGCTCTCCTATTGTTAAGATATGTTTTCCTTTTAAATTGTAGGAAATTTCAGGCTGATAAAACATGATATAACTCAAAAGCAAGCACAAACGATACGGGCCTAAGTGCTAAGGCCAGTATCGTCAGTCGTCCCTACAATGGTAGGGCGCGTTTACGGCCTCCTTGATTGTCATAGTTTTCTACTTCTCCGTGTCAGAGCTCTATTTTGAGGTTATGTCACAAACATCTATTTGCATCAAATTGTGCTTGCTTTTGAGTTATATCATGTTTTTTCAGCCTGAAATTTCGTACAATTTAAAAAGAAAACATATCTTCACAATAGGGTAGCGCTGACGCTGACACGGGACAAGGGTAATCTAGAAACTTTTGAAGGAGAGAAAGGCTTATGACAATCAAGGAGGCCATAAACGCGCCCTACAATTGTAGGGACGACTGACGATACGGGCCTTAGTTGTAGGTGTGGTCTAAACGTAATGAGGCTTGTTATCAACCTTGGGCTCTGATCTCTGATGTGATGTAAAATCTGCTTCTGAGATGGCACTACTGGAGGTCTAAGCTGTAAGTTGTATCTGTTGATGATAATTACATTGGGTTCTTGCCTCAAGTACACTTAATTGAGATTCAAAGCTAGAAATTAGTTACGCATCCACTTTTTCTTATCCATTCTGGAAATTACATATACAAATTTGCTGAATTTAAAAAATGAGAGAGACAAGAAATAATTATATTCACTGTACACGGTCGAATTACAAGCCATACACATGCTTACAGTAATTACACACAACGCGGGCGCGGTGATGATTTCCCGTAATACTCCTCAGTTTTTCATAATTTATAACTTTGAACATAACCTCTCTTCAGAAAGCACAACATAAAAATAACCCGTCGGGCACTGCCATTAGATACTTCATTCGCAGCATATTCAGTAATGATTTTTTCACATAGCAAATATCACTAATTTTATACACATGCACCAATACACATAATCATCCAGATGCGATCTTGCTATTCAACCAACTTTCTTCTCAGAGATAAAAACTACAGACAAGGACCATTTGGCCTCACAAAACATATGCAATCAATAATGCGTTTAGTTTAGTTGAGTGATTCCTCCTTAGATGGATGTTCACAACGATCCTAGTGAGCAACCGTGGAATGACTGCGTCCTAAAAACTACCTAGTTTGCAAGATGACATCTTATGCTGGAACCGCACGCTTGCCATTTGCCGCAAATTCCAAACCCCTACAAACGCTTGCCTTTTTTTTGAAGAAGCAAACGTCGCCGTCCACACGTTTGCGGGTGCGGCACTGAAAAGGCAACAGGCAAACATGACGGACGTCGAACTTGTGTCTGCCGTAGCATTTGGCTTAAGCTATTTTTATTATAAAAACAAAAAAAAGTCAGATAAAACGAAAAGTACGACCAAGAAGGTGGTGGATGTTAAATATTCATATGAATTGTACCAGGTAAATGGTATTTGTTTTAATGAAATTGATATTTAGTTTCAAAAATAGTACCTATCGCTAACGTATGGATGTGTCACAAATGCTTGTGGCAAACTCCTTTTGATTTGCGACCAAAAAACCGACACCCGATCGGATCGGCTACAACCTACAAACGCTTGCAAACCCACGCAAACCAAGCCAAACGCTCTATCCGCATGTTTGCGTTTGTGGCGATTTGGCAAGCGTGCGGTTCCGGCATTATAGGTTTGTTTGACGTTTTATAGGTTTTTTACATGATACTCATGGGGGGGGTCTTGTTAGTAAATTTGACCCTCGTCAAAGGACGTTACAACGTTGGAAGCATGGTTCGTTACGCTCCCACACGAGATGTCATGTGTTTGATGGGTTTAGGTTAGAACCAGAGATAAACCCAATGAAATGCCAACACTGATGGAACAGGCGTAACGCGAATTCACTGCGGCTAGAATGAGAAACGAGAAGGATAGCGCTAGTCAGGGCAAAACATTGGCAAAACATCGTGGTCCATTACACGTGTTGTACCTGTTGGTTGCTAATAAATTAATACTCAATTTTAATTTCAAAATATGAAGAGAAGTAGATTATGGTCATATTTCAAAAAAGAAGATGGTACTGCCATTTGCATTATTTGTAACAAACGAGTTAAAACGTCTGGAAATACAAGCAATCTAGCATCACATATTAAACACAACCATCCAGAAGAATGTGACATCGGATATGAAACCAATTGTGGCAACAAGCGTTCCTTCCGAACGTATTTTTTCAAAAGCAGGAGCCACTATAACTTAGAGCAGAAACCGGCTACAAGGAAGCAGACTGTCAAAGTTACTATTTTTAAGTTCAATAGCTAGTACAAAATACTGGAATTAATTTTCCCAAATAAATGTATGGAAAGAAAAACACATTGAAGTTGAGTCATTAATTTTCAGATAGTGATTGTAGAAGGAAGATAAACCAAAATATGTGTGTAAAAATAAAAAAAATGTTACCTTGTTTTATAAAGTATCCTCCCGACAAGTATTTCAGTGCGGACCTGTATTTGATCGTGCGGTCTTGTAGCACCGGCATCCCCTGTGAGGTCTTAAGTCACCTGATTCACGAGCCCTTTGTACTACATTAACAAAGGCACGAGGGGTTGGTTGCACTCGATTGGGAAACCGATTTTGTAAAGACTACCCCCCCCCTCCCACCCCCCCCGTAAATAAGAATCATGTCCACAAGTTCAGCATTTTCGTAAACATATGCCATTTTTTATTTCGTTTGAGCCACGCAACAAACACCACTATTCACTCACGCGTTACCGACTGAATCCAACTAAAAACATCGTGATAAGCGTTTCAAATTCTTTCGCTTTTTTGTTTCCGATGCGATGAACCGATGCGGATTATATCCGTTGCCGCCAAACACGAGCACATAATATTATTATTGAGACAGGGCGGTACTCAAACTTCTAAAGGGCTATAACTTTGTTACTTTAATTTTACCAGAAAAATGTTAAAGGAAAAAAACATTTCTTTTGATCAGATCTACTCACTGTTAAAATAAATGACTCAACTTCGTATATATATATACAATCTCAGATTTATATGTAGAGCTGGCAACGTTGCGGGATATTAATGCACAATCTGGCGACCATGTCGTACCTTCAAAAAATGGCCGTTGACAACCATATAAGTCACTGTGTTGCCATTGAATAGCATGGAATTAAACCTTCTTCAGTGTATGTTTTGTGAGTGAAAGTTGAAAGAACCATCACACACGCAAGAAAGACGAAAGAAATTAATCGAATCTAGTAATGTAAAATTGTTTATGCACTCTAAACTCGTAAGTTTCATTCGGGACAGTGACTGTTTAGGTGAATATTAGTGACGGATAATTATTCCCATCAGCAAATATAAAGTTGAACAATGCCCAAACCAAATTATGGAAACAGGCAATCAACGTGGGTCAAAGATGGTAAGTGCGTCATAAGCATTGATAATGATTTTATATGCCAAAACGCTGTTATGGAATTGCTTTTATACGAAACTACATCATAATAGACGCACACAGGTTTTTAAAATTTTTTGTGATATATATATCTTTGTTCTTATATTTATTCTGATGGCTTTCAACAGTATAATTATTGTAACAGTTGACACACACTGCATTTATGTGTGCAAGGATAATGCTCAATATAAATATGCATGTTCCTATATACAGCATATTACAAGTAGTAGCTGGATCATTATAGGGTGTGCAAATGATGACATTGGCTTGATAACTACTCCCCCAAAAGATGCCCGGGTTGTGTAATTTGGTATTCATACTTCCAATGATGCTCCGGCTGTGTAATACTCATCATAACATAAGAGCCATCTAAATGTAAACCCTTCCAAGTGCAAACCATACAGTTCAAAGAAAAACGCGCAAAACTGTTTTGTGTTATACTATCCAGAAACATAATTTACTTTAATATCTTGTTGATGTAGATACTGCTTCTTAATCCATATCATTATTATTATATTATTATAACAAAGAGAGCACCGTCAACTAAGAAAAATAATATGCAGTTGGCCGGGTTTGAAAATAAATTTGAGAAATGGGGGGCTTTGTAGACAAAATCAGGTGTTTTCAACCACAATGATGAGAATGCCAGGAAATGGCATGGAACCCTGTGAATCAAAACACACGGTCCTGAGACCAAAATATGACTTTCATATTGGTCACATGCACTTGGCGATTTTTGCAAACAAACAAATCTGCAATTAGCGATGTATTAAAAGCGAACTGAGTTTTTGATGCTTAATAGTAATGCAAATGCTGAGTTTTGAGAAATAATATCTTGACAGAATGCAGATATCAGCATTTCCTGTCAAATGTCAGTGCTATCTCAATTTTTATTATTTTTGCATTTGGCAGGGCATATATACATATTGTATATGTAAGAAGTGCTGAAATGTCAAAAGAGTTGGCCATACTAGAACAGATAATTGAATGCAAATCTTATGGGGGGGAAATCCAAAACATTTCGACTAAATGAAATATATTACTTTTCACAATACATATTTCAACACAGCAAAACATGTCAAAAAATAAGAGCTGACTATCTAGTGATGTTTAAAACACCTTAAGCAATTTTAAGCAATAAACTGTGATGAACTATGATTATTCCTTGGTTATGCCTTTGATTATTCTGTTATTTGCTCTTCTGACACAGAATAACTGTTGAAATTTTGTACAAAAAAAAAACACATGGAAACTGGTACTTTTTTTCACTGAGAACTTTTTAAAGAAAATTATGTCACCGATGACACTAAACAAACATAAAAGGCACAACAGAATAGGAAAGGGTTATGTTTATGAATCAACATTTGATATTCTGAACTGCATAGAAACCGCCACCTGTGTAAGGTTGTTATTGGTCAGTAACAGTGACATCACAAAGGGCCAGTTTGTGATATCTTTGTTTGATGGCTGTTACAAACTGTATCACAATAAATGAATAGTAGATCCCTTAAAATTGCTTATTGTTGAGTGGCACACAACTCTGACAGAGTTGTACTGAGGGGTGAGATTATTAAAAAGTGAGATTTTTATTTTTTAGAATATAGACATGACAATAGAGATCGACGTGTGACCTTTAAATTTAGTCATAGACAAGGCAGTAAGAAAGACAATGTGCGAGACTGGACAACTGCTATTAGGGAACATTTGCAAGATGAAGATGTTGACATGGGTATCAGTTCCACTTCTGGCAGAGTTATTAACAATAAAAAGTTCAATAAGAAGAAAAAGGGTGGACGAAAAGGCTCCCCAGTGCCTGTTAGGAAGCTTTTGGAAGGACCCACTGGCTGGTACAGGGTTATAGTATGTAACCAGTTCCTTATTTATGAATATTGAGCTAAATATTTGATAAACGCCCATTTATGTTTGTGACACTTCTTACCTAATAGTGTAATGTGATATTGTTCAACTTAATCACTACATTCAGAGAGAGAGAGGGAAAGAGGCATATTGTCAATCTCAAAAATAATTTTATTCTGGAGTATCAAAATAGCTGTATGAATTTTTTTGTTTCATTTCAGATACCATATGGAGACAAGTTTGAAAAGACTTTCATCATAAAGCTACTCCAAGGAAAGCTTGAACCCTTAGCCTTGTGGCCAATAGCAGTAAGTAGAGCTGTTAAAAGTAGAAACTAATTCATCCTGCAATAACCCATCTATTCTTATGTTAATATACAAGCATAAATATTGATGAAACTTTGCTTATTCAATTTATAATTGTGTTGCATCATGTTCTGGATATATTTACACTGTTCTGCAGGTGTCTAAATACTCATTTTTATTCTTAATTTGTTTGTAGCAATTAGATGATCATGCTCATGAAGTGCCCCAATAGATCAAAGAATGGATATTTGGTGCATGATGAGAGGTGGAAGCACCTCCTCCTCTCCATCCTTAAGTTTTTCAATTGCTACCATTCACTGACAGGACTTGAGCATCCCCCATCTTCAATTTCCAAGTGCCAGCAATATAGAGACCATTGTCATTCATATCAGTGACAAGGTCAGAGAACAGCTTCAAAATTACTCATTTTTGTTTCCATAAAACTAATTTTGCTCATTTATACAAGAGCTCTGGTCTATGAGCACTCTGTGGTTCCAATTGTAACTTATTTGTTTTTGTTTATAAATATACACAACAAATCTGGAAACACTAAATAGAAGGAGAAATTGTCTTTAGTATGTAAATAATTAATGAACAGATTTTCTCCTGCAACACTTTTTTCATAAAACATAATTTAGATGAGGATAATGCAGAGGTTTGAAAGATTAGAGCTAAAGTAGCTAACTTTTTTCTATCTATACTAATGATATATATTTGATAGTGGCAGACACAAGGAACAACAGTTACATTCTATGTAGATGAGTACAAGGTAGCTGAAAGGATCCATAGCATGGACAGACAGATTCAACTTCCAGATGGATTCAAGTTGCTCCTGAAGGTGCATCCTGGTTCACCAAATGTTGACATGAATGCAACCACTAAAGAAAAAATGAAACTAGCCATGGCAAAACGTTACAACCCAAACACCAAAGCTCTTGATCTTACAAAGTTCCATGCAGACCCAGATCTTCAGGACTGCTTCTGTGCTCTGTTTAAGCCAATTGTATTCATCACTATAATAGACATTATTGAGGAAAATATACCAGAATTGGAAGCGTTGAATTTGATGGATAATAAGATTACCTTGTTGAGTTTCTTGAAGAAGGTTAGCAAGAAGATGCCCAATTTGAAGATTCTTCACATGGGAAATAATAAGGTAACCAAGACTATGACACAAGCCCTGTAAAAGTAGTTTGTTTTTTTGTCAATTCATGAAATAATGTATTCAATTCATAGTGTTCCTCAAACTTTAGTTTACTATCAATATATATATATATATAAATAAATATTTGATTGATTTGATGAACTAAATTATGATTTTTGTAATGTCAGAATTTATCATTTTTAAAGCAGTGCCAATATTTTCATCGGATGGGTATTTTAATGAATCATCTGCAAATATCTGAATTATACAATAATCTAAAATATCACAAATGTCATTAATTTATAAAATAAATAGTAGTGGACCTAGTTTACTATCTTGTGGTACACCAACAGATATATTTTATGAGATGATAATGCAGATCATCCAATTTTGGTTTTTTGACTTCTGTGAATTAAGTTGTTTTGTAGAATTTGGAATACAGATCCTTTAAATCCGTAGTGATGCAATTTTGTAAGTAATTTATCTCTGTCAGTAGTTTTGAGGTCCAAAAACACTGTCTTTGTATGTTTCCAATTGTCCTTACAACTACTGCAGTTCTCTAAAACCATGTGTATTGCAGTTTCAGTTGACTGTTTCTTCCTGAATCCAGCTTGAAATTTGGTTATTAACATTCTATCTCCGTCGATAAATTCGATGATCTGTTTTTAAATAATTTCTTCAAGACTTATTGGCAGCATATTGGTGTACAAATCAGAATTTTTTTCAACTAGCTTTTGTACAAATTATATAATTTTTAGATTAGAGAAATACAACAGTTGGATGCATTTGAAGGTTTGCCAATAATCGACTTGGTGCTTGATCGTAACCCACTCTGTGATAAATTCAAAGACCAACAGGCATACATCAGGTACGATTTTTTCATTTTTGCCTCTTTTTGATTTTGACACTGCATCATGATTTTATATATTGTCATAGTTAATTTCAAAAATTGCATGTATATTTCTCACAACAAGGCATAATGTGAACCTGATTTCAACTCAACGTTCAAGTTCCACTCTGAGAACTGTCCCATATGCAAATTATCATAGTTGACTTGCAAAATTTGGATGAAGAATGTTGTAAGCAATTATATTGATTAATAACAATAAATAGTCCAATCAAAAAAGCTAAAGGATTGAGAAAACTGCACAAGAAAACAAGTTTCTTAAATTTTGTTGAACCATATCAGAATGGTTTTAAGTTTATCTCAATCAGTCAAATGAAGGTGACATCTTATTGGTAGTCTTATTGATGGATACAATATTTATTCAAAGGCTATTGTTTCCTTGAAGATCTATCTGTAAATATATTTGAGAATTACTGTCTGCATTTTCAATTGATTCATTTTTCATGGTATTAAACATCAGTATAAAGAATGTTGAATTCTGAAATTTTCATGCATTTGATAATACTCGGGTTTAAAGATATCAAAATTTGATAATTTTCAATAAACCTATAGCTTTTGTCAATTTGTCTAAAAACTGTATCTTCCTTTAAAGTTGGAGTCATTGAAAGTTACAGGTCATGTCATCTGTCACTTTGATGCTTGTCTTCTGATTCAGATTCTTTAAACCTGACTTTTATAATCAACATCAACTAGATTTCAAATATCTTAATCTTAAAAAACATACACTATCAAGAAGTATTGTTAACTTGATAGTTGAATTGATTTTTATTGTTCAAAATTCATACTTCTCATCAAAATTGGATACATTATCACATTTATGTAATTTTAATAGATTTGATTGGATATTTCATTTGTCAATATTGGTATACAAAGTACATATGGCTTGAATAATATTGACTATGATGCATAGAATTTATCATTATCATACTATTACTTCATAAAGATTGTTCTAAAGAATGTTATTTTAGAGCCTGTTTCGAGGCAAGGCACGCAACATTTTTAATGAATTCAAGCTGATATTTGCGGCCACAGAGACTGATCAACTGGATATTGTTCTTCTAATTATTGTGTTGGTCATATATTGAATTTGTATTAGAAACATGAACAGTCACTTCACTAATTGTTTGTCTCGTGCCAAGACAAAACGTGAATAATATGATCTACTGAAACTTATGGCACATTTTCATTGTTCAAGTACGTCGGTAGCAATAAAAACACATTGCTACCAATTGAGCTGAATCATGGTACCCAAATAAGTCAAAATGTTTGGATATAGGAGGAACAAATATGTATATGTATAACAATAATCTTAAAGTTACATCTTGTATAGTAAATGTTCAGTGATTTGACGAGAGTTACAACAATACAATCCTTAACTATAATTCCTATCTTGGTCAGCATTCATAGCTGTTCACAAAATAATAATTTGAGGAGCAGCGAAGTGGAAGGAGACCTGAAATGCCCCAAAACAGTTGAACCTTGCAAAAATAAGGTTTTGGTGCCATCACAATGCCCATGCTTTATGTTGGTAGTGTTTCTGGTGGTCTTTTATAAGACATGAATGACAGAACTAGCCTTCTCAGATGGGCAGATGGCTTTCAGAATCTTGGTGATAGCAGATCAGTTTATGTGCTCCAAAAATAATAGATATAATGAAAAAAGAAAAACAAAAGAAGAATGCGATTAAGAAAGGTGTTATGATTGGGCAATGATACATAAATGATTTGGGAAATAATTTCCTGGCGCTGGATTGCTTGCTATACACAATGTAACCAGCAAGATTTTGTCACAATAACATTATTGCAAAACAAAAATCTGAACTACTTATTATCCATGTATATAAGGGAAACGATTGGTGATGTGTTTTCATTCAGTTTTCATTTTTCCCCAAGAAGAGCAAATGGCCAGGTGAAAAGTCATGTTATACTAATTGGTTATTGGATGTGTGTTATATCGACGATCTCAAATCAATACCTCGTAAGTCCGAAAATGTCGATTTATGCATACAGGAGTCAAAACAGAACAAAATCAGAAAATCGACATTTTTCGGACTTCATTTGAGATCGTCGAAACACAGTTTAGCTTCATTTGTCTACTTTGCCTCAAACTTATGTATGAACTTGAGAACTTTTAATAAGAGGTATCAAATAAAAAATAAACCTTTTATCACTCGAGGAGTTCGTTTTGTTCAACCTCAATATTGTTATTATTATCAAAATACTCACTGTTTTTGGTTAGTTGAAGTGTCTCGTTTGCCGCATACTAAATTTGTATCAAAGAGAGTTAAGGAACTGCCCAAATTGTAATAGCATTAATTCGTTTATTATTTTTGTCGAAGAAAAATATTGGTATTGAGAAAAATTGAAATTGGGTATTAGTGTGCTTTGAGGTTCCAAACTAGTTACGGCGGCATGCACAGTCGTTCCCTTTTGCCTTCCGAAAGAGACGAAAAACAGTGCGCCATGGCTATAAAAGGCGTCCTTCGAAGTAGGAAGGCAAATAGGATTTTTTTACTTCGTAACTATAAAGTTTCGTAATACCACTGCTGATCATACAAGATTGTTATTCGCACCAAAAAAACCATACCTTGACTCATTGGTAATTGAAAATATAAAGCTTCTATGGGTTCTACAATTTTTTGTAATTATTCAGTTTCTGAATGACCATTTACAAATGACAAAAATTGATTGGAACCCCTTGAGGATTCAAATGATCAGTTCATCACATGTCTCAAAAAAGACGCTTGCTGCCCTGTACCTTAGAAAATAATATGTTTCTAAGTTCACCCTCGGTGTAATTTCAGGAATTTCCTTTTTTCACCCATGTACTCTTTCAGTTGCAAAAAAATATCTTTTAGAGATTTTTTTTAAGAAGAATTAAGCTTAAACACCTGTTAACCTGTTAACGATGTTACATTATCATTGCTTTAGTAACTTTTGGCTAAGGAAACTGTCAAAACTGAAGTAACTAGAAAAATTGTCTTTCGGTTCTTAACGCGTGTTCATTCGAGATACTTCAATGATTCTCCATTTTCCATCTTTACGTGCGACAAGGGTTTCTGGCTTTTGGATTTATTTTTATGATTTTGCGTTGACAATATTGTGTTTGTCCGAGTGAAAGGTATCCAGGACGACGTTATGTAACAAAGGGCCTATTCGGGTCCGTGATTTTCTGTCTACAGTGAAGTTAGGAAGAGGTTTCCCAAGTGCATGAAGCTGGTAAGTAATCCAACATTACAGATTTAGATGTTAGATGTATATTATCCTCTTACTTCTTTCTGCCCAATAAATACAACGTCAGATGGTTTATTAATTTTATTTATGCTGCGTTTACAGTAGCATTTTCTGACTATAAAAAATAAAATAAATTCTGAAGTTGAAGTCTAGATTGATCTGTTGACATTTAAATCTCTCTCCAAGTGATAGTTCATTTTGATTGTTTAGACATGTGAATACTACTAAGATCTTTTTGGCATTTTGTGTGTAACATAGAATGAGGTCACAAGTATGACTAGACTTTGGTCCAGAATCATTCTATGGTGCTTGTTTTTGTCAAGTTTTTCCCATACAGCACTGCATCTATACAACTCTCAACAAATTGAGAGGCAGCCATATTGGAAATTATTGACTTCAGGTAGTGGAGGCTTGGGATATGTTGCAAGATGCAATGTCGTACATTTACTTTTTTGTACTTATTTATTCTGTATGATATTTGGATCCAATTTGGAGGGTCCATTTTTAAGATTTTGGAACCGAGGGTTGAAGATGCACCATATAAGAATTTTGGACTGACATCTAGTTGTCCTCTCTGTAAGTGAAATACTTTGAGGGTTTGGTTACATCAATCGATGCTTTAGGACGGAATAGACCTCCCCCCTCCCATCAGCTTCGATATAGCTGAGGACCATCAGCTACCGAACCCTCAGCAGACGTTCCTGTGCAACGCGGAAGGCGGCACCATCGTGAGACAGTTTCTAGAACAGTATTTCCTCATCTACGACACGGACAACAGGCAGCCTCTACTGCAAGCATACCATGAAAATGCAACTTTCTCACTAACTATGGCATATCCATACGGTTTTGGGAAAGATAAGAACGTGTCATGGTTGAATTGGTATGCTACAGATAACAGAAATTTGCTCAGAGTACAGGACCCTGACAGAAGGTGCAAATTGCTCAAGCAAGGACACGTGGCCGTTGTGTCCTTCTTACAGGAGATGCCCAAAACCAAGCATGACATGCATAGTTTTACTGTCGATTTGACGATATTTACGGTAGGTACCCTTTATTCGAATTTTCTATGCCACACATTTTTATCATTCAGTTTAGTCAGGTTTTCTTTTCCAATTTGATGAGGTTTGGGGTACAATATGCTTTATTGATAATAGGTAGTAAAACACATTATGTACTTAATCAAAACAAAACAAAAAAAACAGCAAAATACCATCCAATCTTTGTTTTTGTATCCTTTCAAATTTCTTGTTATTCATGTGTGCATTATTTTGACAGAAGACATTTTAAAAGTTTCTTATCGCTTTAGATATAGTGATCATTTTTCAAGTTTCCAAACTTTTGCATATGTATTCTCGCTTTCTGTCAAGCATCATACACCACTGCTAAATTCGGAATGAAAATATGGTAGTCGGTATCTAAGGAGAACTGAAGCGATAATACCTGATATATGATGTTAGCATCTCAACAATTAGATTTTAATCTGATACTTCTGTTTTCCAGCCCCAGATGCTATGCTTAACAGTATCTGGCATGTTCAAAGAACTGAAGAGTGGTCACAAATTTCCTCCACTACGATATTTCTTTAGAACACTGGTGATAATACCTGCTGGTTCAGGTTTCTGTATAGCAAATGAAGTACTTCATATCACGAATACCACACCAACGCAGGCAAAGGTAATGAATTTGATCTATGAACGTTTGATATTTGCATGTTATTATAATCAAATAGAGGGTGTTCTGGTGGTTGGGATTTCTCAGAGACAACTTCGTTTTACATATCACAGCTAATATACATTAAAACCGCAGAGAAATAGTAAAGAAAGGAATAAAAGTACTCTACTCTTCATTTCAAAAGACAAAAGTCGAATTTCAAGTATCACCCTGTCCAAGTTATTGCTGTTCAACTCAAAAGATATGCTTCTTTCTTAGCTTATAACGTTTGGGGCTGTCTAGGTCTTCTCTTGTGCCCACCTTGATGTTTTTACAAACGGCCTTTGCATGAGATGAACAAACCTACTAGGGGATGGAAAACACATTGAATACACTCGCGAAGCAACAGCAGCAACTCAAAGACATTGTAAACTATCATCGATTCCCCAAATCCGTAATTGCTGTAGGAGTGTATCGTTTTCGGTTTTTCAAAGCCATTATACACAAACAACTTGATTTACCGCGCGTAGCGTCTGGGTTGGATACCAGCACACGCCGCGTCGTATTTACTCATCTTATTTTTTGCTGAAGGCAGGTTCGGATTTGGTATCGCGCATTTCTTTGAAATCTGATTACTTGATTATTTTGAGATTTTGGTATATGTGATATTTCATTATTTTTACAAGGACCATACACTGGGGCTCTGTAAAGTCTCAACGTTAAGAATACTGTGTATAATGGTGGCTGACAATAACGTTTGGTCTTTTACCTTGACCAACTGACTAAAAGGTTTATTAGGATTAATGTTAAGAAGTTGTGCCCAGCGGGAAAATCCAAGTCCAATGTTCTGCATCTTTTTCATTTGGGGATCTTTTTTTTAGGATGCTTTCAAGACACCCCCGATAGTGGCGCCACCTCCAAGTCCTGTGTCGACAGGTGCCTCCCCTGGACCAAGTACAAGTATGGCACCTCCTGCAGTAGCTCTCGATGACAACATGAAGCAGGAGATGGTTAACCAAATGTCGATCCAGTCGGGAATGAACATGGAATGGTCACTCAAGTATGTTGAATTTATGCACATATTTGTACATCAGGCCTGACCAGATAATCTGACTGATAAAATTTTAATTCAGTTGATTTAAGATTATTTATTTATTTTGCACCATTGAAATCACACAAAATGGGCACTTGCTTCATAAAAGCACCATTCATTTGTTTCATCTTTAAAGTGTTTACTCATCTTTTAGGTGTTTGCAAGAGACTGAGTGGGACTTCCAACGAGCCAGCTTAGTATTTCAAGATCTCCATACAAGGGGAGTCGTACCACCAGAAGCATTTGTTAAATGATAGCTTAGGCTGTGCATATTTAAGTAATTTATAGAATCATCATATTTTATAATTGAATGTCTGGGAGAATGTGAGAATAATGATATGTCTATGATAGTTACACTGAAAATAATGAAAGTTTTTTTTTAAATGCACGACGTTCTATATAATATTGGAGCAGTCATGTATCATAAGATTTGTGGAGTTTGGATCGTTTGCTAGTAAAAGTAGTTATATTTTATGATATCTGATAGTTGAAAATCTATCTAAACACTATCCAAAACCAAGATACAACAGATGTAAACAAGGTGCACTGTAGGTGTTTTCACGGTTTTATCTCTCCACCTTGAAATTTTTTCGCCAACTTATGAGTATTCCACATATATGTTTGTTACTGTTAGTATGACAGCTTGCTTGTTAGATCAAGTTGTCAATATCGAATTCATACCACCTGTTGTTGAGCAATCTGGTCAACGTATTTGTTGTCTTTTACTCTATCTTGGTTTATATCCGGTTATATTTTTGCTTTTAGATCTTGATATCCAAAATTGTAGGTACTAGTAAACGTCTTCTCAAAATTCACTTTTGGCTTGATACTTATAAATATTGTGCTTTATACATGGTGCAAATTTTAACTAAAAAATTAAACAAATCAAATCTCTTTACCGATGAAAATAAATGAGAACATCGATTTTGTTTTTGGTCCTAGCTGGTGCTGGTTAGATTTTCTAAAGCATAGTCAGGATACACTTCTACTTTTTAATCGTACAACGTCAAAGTTTGCTGCGTCCATTTCACGATTGTAAGGCGACAGATCTTATTCTTGCAAATGACAAATGTAACATTGTAGCATCGGTCAAGTTGACATTTATATAGCTTGGATTGACTTGCATGGGAGGATTAAAAAAAGAACAAAAACAAAATCATATGTACTAAATGAACATGGAAAGAACAAAATGAATTGCCCTGTTAATCTTTTTTCCAATCGCCCTTTGCATTCAATTACAGAGAAATTTATTTTTATGTTTTCTATCATTTCTTCATCACCATGGAATTGTCGAAACTTTATTTTTGTAATGAACTCATTCGTTAAGTTTACCGAGATAAGAAAGTTGACTTATCATTGTGTTTCCCTTTTTGTTATATAAACTCAATGGTTCATTTACCTCGAATGTATAATGAATGAAGATAATTTTGTATCCCTCTACTTTTGCTTTAACACAACCCCTCCAGTAAGTGACTGAAAAGATATCTTAATTTTGAATTACATGGATTGTAGTTTATGTTGGCTAATTTTGTAGGTTTTTTAATAGATCATTTTATTTTTACATCTTAAACGTGTATGTAGGGTATAGTTTGTCGTTTAGATTACAATATACTAGTCAGTAAACTAAAAAAAAAATGTAAAATCATCAAGTAGATTTTAGATTGAAAGGCCTTTATGAAAAAAATTCTTGAGTGATACTGCCTATTTTGAACTGACCTTTTTTTAATAAAAAATGTATAGAGACGACTCATAAATAGCTGAAAATCGACGTTTTCTCAAAGTGGTCAAAAGTCCCTTAATGATTTTTTTGCATAAAGACCATCCACTGTCTCTTTCTAATCTGGCTCTGTCTTAACCTCTCTTACTAGGAGGCATTGAGTTTATCATTCCAGTTGACCAATGATACATGTAATAATATTTTCTGATGGGGTTCGTTTTATTTGGATGAATGATAGTCAAGTTGGAATGATTTCATATCGTGAAAGTATAGTTTTGTAAATAAGTTTTTGAGTAAATGAAATATTTTAAATATTGCGTGTATTATTTTTGAGTGTATAATATTGTTTTTTACCAAAGACGTTGCGCAGGCAGAGCTGAAATGTCAAAAAACTCCACTAAAATTTTTTTTATACTAGCCTTTAACTGATTAAAGGTTAATATAACTGGGAAAATAATTTTTCATACACTAAGAATAATGAGTTACTAAGTGCGCCACTGAGTGATAAACAATATAAAACTGGGCTCCGAAATTAAATTCGTATTACGGAGAGTTTCGAGTCATTATATTTATTGAAAAGTAGTGTCAAGCGTGAATTAGTTGAACTGATACACTTTGAAATAAACAAAAGGCGAAGATCTGCGGGCTAAGTGTCAATTACACTTGAAATAAGAAATCTCGAATCGCCAACAGCTGATCGGTACCATCTTTCCTCCGAGGGGTCGACCCGGGAAATCGGTATCTGCGGCGCCTTGCGTGGATCAGCGTAGACGGTCATATATACACAATAGAAGACTAAAAGCATAGGCGGACATAATGGAGTGTAGATGTCGGCATTCCGTATCAGCTCTAGACAGAGTGAAGATAGCACAACTGAAGAGGCAACAGACGAGGGAAGCAAAAGAAAGAGGATTGAAGAGCAAGAGACAGAACCCTTTAAAAAAAGTAAAAAGATAATAAGAACCCCGACAAAAGATAGAAATAAAAGAGTTACTAACAAGGAGATGGAAGAAATTAAGGACATGATGAAAAGTCTTATGGAGGAGTTTAGAGGGTTTCGGGAGGAAAATTGTGAGGAAATGAGGTTACTTAAAGAACAAAATACAATTCTCAAACAAAGGAACGAAGACATGATGCAGGAAATCAGTATGCTTAAACAGAGGGTTGAGCAGTTGGAAGAAGTAGAACAAAGGATAGAGCTCCTAGAGAAAGGTAGAAGAAAAAATAATATAGTGATCTCGGGTTTAAACCTAGGGACAGGAGGTAACGAGGATTTAAGGCAATCAGTAGAAAACTTTCTGAAAACCAGACTGTCTCCAGAGGCAGATATTCAGTCCGCCCAAAAAATAAAAGAGAACCTCTATGTGGCGGAGTTGAAGAGTTTTGATGCTAAAATGAAGATCATGAAAGTGAAAGGTAAGGTACAATATTTGAAAACGCAAAAAATCTACATAAACAGTGATTTGACAAAAAATGAGATGATTCAAAAGCATATAAGAGAGAGCTAAAACGGAGAGAGCAAGAGGAAATACAGTCAAGATAGGTTATATGAACTTGCTGATTAGTGGAGAAAAATGGAGATGGGATAAAAAAGATCAGGTGTTGAAACCAGACACATTGATTCAAAAAAACTAGTTATGTTTAGAGAAAAGGATATCTTGGAGACGACAGAAAATGTGGCTATGACAATGGAACAGGAATAAAAATAACGAAAGAAATAAGACGTTAAGTACGTATAAATTTAAAGAAGAGCAAATAAGAATTGCAACTTGGAATGTCAAAAGTATCTACGAAGCAGGTGCACTGAAAAACTTAGTCAACATAGTGAACGTATATAAAGTACACGTTCTAGCTCTTCAAGAAACAGGAATATCCCAGTGCGAAAATTTCGTATTTTGTAATAGTGGTGGTGCGAATAGACTTTTTGGGACAGGATTTCTAATAAATGCAAAGCTAAAAGACACGATAGTAGAATTTAAACCTATATCGGAAAGATTGGAAAGTACAGGAAAGTAACAATGATCAATGTACATGCCCCAAGTGAAGACAAGGATATGGATATCAAAACAGACTTTTATCAACAGTTAGATGATGTGATAAATAGTCTACCAAAATACGATATCAAAATAATATTAGGAGACTGCAATGCAAAAGTTGGGCGTGAAGACACTTATCGAAACGTTACAGGAGGGAAAAGCAAACATGAACTCTCAAATGAAAATGGCAAACTCCTGATTGACTTTACAATTGAGCAAAATTTCAAGATAATGAGCACTTATTTTGACAGGAAAGATATCCACAAGACAACATGGATCTCACCAGATGGTAATACTGCCAATCAAATTGACCACGATTAAAATACAATAAAGAGTCCAGGAGAAAATGGAATCACAGCAGAAATAATAAAAGCGGGTGGACAAGATTTACACAAGCGACTTGGAAGTCTGATCAGATATATATGGAATCAAGAGGAACTACCAGATGAATGGAAAAACGCCGTAATCTGCCCAATACACAAAAAAGGTGATAAAAGTTCATGTGAAAACTATAGAGGCATTGCCCTGTTAGACACTGCATATAAGATACTAGCATTTCAACTAAGGGACAGATTGAGCATATATGAAAATGAGGTTATAGGTGAATATCAAGGAGGTTTTAGAAGGGGCAGGTCCACAATAGACCAAATATTTACAATGAAACATGAAAAATTATATGAAGCTATGAGACTGCTGGGACTACCAAGTAAACTGATAAGGTTAGTCAAAATGACAATGAACGGGACAACGAACAAAGTCACATTGGAAGGGAAAACATCTAGAGCTTTTGGCGTAACGAGAGGCCTGAGACAAGGGGACCCGCTATCTACAACATTGTTTAACTTTACGCTGGAAGCTATTTTACGTAATTGTGGTATACAAACCGACGGAGTTGTTTACTATAGAAAACATCAGTTGAGTGCTTACGCCGATGATATAGCAATAATAACCAGATCCAAAGCAGAACTTGAGAAGACGTTTAGAAGGATAGAAGAAACTGCCAAACGTTTTGGGCTTCATATAAATGAAGACAAAACAAAATACCTTGAAATGAAAGGAAGCGATGAAGGAAAGTTAACAATAAAAAGTAGTTGCAGAGAATACTGTTTCGAGAAGGCGAATCAATTTGAATATCTAGGGGTCACAATAACAGATAAAGCAGAAGAAGATTTAGAAATTGAAAAAAGAATAGCAAAAGGGAGTAAAGCAATGGGGGCTTTAAGCAAGATGATCAACTCGAGGTGGATATCAAGGAAAACAAAGGAAAGGATATATAAATCAGTTATCCAACCATCAGTACTTTACGGCGATGAAGCTTGGGTGTTAAGCCAGAAAAACGTACAGAAATTGGAACGCTGGGAAAGAAAAATGTTACGTAAAATATATGGGGGCACAAAAAACAACGATGGTACATGGAGAAAGCGAACTAATAAAGAACTGATGGAGATGTATAACCAACCCAGTATGATACAAAAAGCCCGAGCTCAAAGAGTGCGCTGGTTAGGACACGTTTACAGAATGCCGTCTCATAGGAATGCCAAAAAAGTTTTGTTTGGAGGAGAAGGTAGTAGAAGAAGAAGAGGAATACCGAAGAAGCAGTGGCTGGAAAGTGTCAAAGAGGATATACAAAGACTAGGCATACCAGACTGGGAGGAAAAGACCAAAATCAGAAAAGCGTGGAAACAAGTTGTCAAAAAGATAGAAGCCATGGGCCTTCAGGCCTGAAGCGCTGAATTATATATATATATATATATATACTGGATTATCCTTGACGGAGTTAAAATAAGAAGTAGAAACCTGGTGGATCTGTCTAACATGCCTAAAACTCAGCGGTATAGAGGTCAGGGGATCAAGGACCATTGACATATCATTGACTGGCACTCGATGTGCCTTTGGATTGTTTCTTGAGCGAACTTTACCGATCAGTCCGAGAGCACTTTTTTGAAGTGTATAAGTATGGACCGTGTGGCATGAGGCGGTTTCGCTTTTGTGTGTGAACGTTTGTTCGGTAAGCTCAAAGACATACGTTTTTTAGTTGTGTCTCCGTCTCGAAAACTTTGTCGTTACGTATGAGTGCCCTTCAATCATATTTGTCATATTGACAACTTACTTGAGATCGGCGTGCAATTCGAGTTGTCCGGTTATCAATCTTCAATATAAAATTGTACAAAGCTCGGAAATACGATCAATGGAGGCCGTGCTAAATGTATCAGAGTATTTCCAGAAAGATAACAACGGTCCCCTGTTACCCACTTCATGCGTACTGGAGAGAGTAGCAGATGCGCTGAAGATTAGCCCATGGAACGGAGTCTCGATCTGTTTACCTATTTCATATGGCGTTGATGACGTAACCGACAAGTACGGTGACTACAACTATACTAAAGTTTTGGTCTAAGGTATGCTTTGTGCAGAATGAGGGTTTATGTGGTGAAAAGTAATTCATACCCAGTTCGTGTCAATAAATTCTTGTCCTCGGTGATCTGAACTGAAATGCAGGAACTTTGCAAAGCTCGGCTATTCTTCCTGAAGTCAATGTGTGTCTACGAGGGTCTAAAAGTGCACACCCATTGAGGGGAAGGAAGCAAAGAGAAGTTAAAATCTTACGCTAGGTTCCTTCATTCTTGATCAAATGAGATCCCGCACATTCGAGTGATGCGTGAGGAAGCGGAATATTATGTTTAACGGGTGCAAATGACAAACTACGCCGGGATTCTCTTTGCGTTGCTTCGCCTCAGTGGTCGTGCAGCTTTATTGGTCAAAGGACTGTGTCTTGGAAGCCGTAAGCACGGAACTATTGCCTCATCAGGCAGTGATAATCGTTGTCGGAACAAAGTAGTTATCACTCTTTTCTGTCCAGTACACCGCAGATCATCTGGAACTGCCGAGTTTCTTCTAGTAAAGTGCTGTCACTCGTAAAGCTGTTGATCAGTATAGGAAAGAAAGTCGTGACCACGTAGTGACTGAAGTGGGGGCGGTCAAGCGCTTTTATGCATTGTAGAGCTTTCCCAGTTGCCCATAAGGGAATCTGTAATGCTAAGGTTTATCACTAAGTTTGTAGCGCCATCTCAGGGACATTCTCCGAACTTTTTATAGAACCTTTACGAACTGTTATAGAACCCTTCAAAAATATCGAATACCTAGCGCCATCTTTGGACTTCCCTATTACACTGTGGTGCTAAATTTGAAATTTATATTCAAATTATATATAAGGTATTTTAGGTAAAATAACGCTCGACCTGATTATATTTTTAAAATGTGTATTTTTTTAATATAAAACATAAAAATAACAGTTATGCAACTTGTTAGGAATCTAAAAGTAGTCGGTATTACCGATGTACTATCGCGTACATAAGAAACTAACAGCATCTATTGTTATCAAACACGCATTGCCAGGGATCTCTTATCATTGTGACAGTGCCTTGTTACCTCTTTATCAGATAAGGTCATCAATAGTTCAGGAGATATGGGATGTCCATGTGTTTTCTGCACCTGGTAGTACCTATGTAAAGTATAAAATAACAATCTTCTTGAGAACAAATGAGTAATTAATTTATAAAAGTAAAAATAGGAAAATTTTTAACCAAGTAATTAAGTTACTAAAAATAAAACTGAAATATTCTTAATAAATTCAAAAATAAATTTCAAAAAAGGACACAATGTAAGCTAAATAAAAAATAAAAATAGATATTTTTATCTAGCATATCAAATGTTTTAGATAAATCGAACCTCATGCTTACTACATAGTTGCCTTGATCTAATTGCGAATAAACATAATTCAAAAGAGCAGGGGTTGCTGTCTCTACAGATCTATTTTGTCAAATCCATGCTGATCATCAGATAACAAGTTGAACCACCACAGAAGTAGTATGTAAGTGCCCGGGAGGGAGGGGGGTGAAGGGGTGGTTTGTGTGGTGGGGTAAAGGGCGGGGGTGATTAAATTCTGAGTCCTCTCAATGACCATCCTCATAGCATCGAAAACGTGTTGTTTCCTTGTCCACACAGCCGTCGCGAGAGAAAGCAAAATATTATCGGACTATCCCCCCGGTTGCAGGCCATTTCTTAATAGGATAAGACAAATTGTAAAACCTCTTCACGCTTCAATAACCTATTGTATAATAGAAGAGAGTCGACTCTCAATGTGCATGCTAATTCTAAAACCTGTTATCGGTTTGGTATAATAGAAATGTGACAGTATATTTTTTCTAGACTACCTGAACTCTTGTATGCACCTGTGCAGTAACGTAGACTAACTCTGCTCAGGTAAATAGCTCGACGGAACCCATTGTTGAGTGGTACACTCCCCATACAATAACTTAAAGGTTCACCGAACACTCTAATTCGTAGGAGCGCTCTCTCCCCATTCCAATCCTGATGTGTGTGTAACAAAGCGAGGAGGTTGCATACTGAAAGTTGTTTAGTTAGCTTTCAGTGATCAATTAGTAGAGTAGAGTTGGTGAATGTGGAATACTTTTCATTTGAAGCCTATAATTCTATACAAATTTGAGGCATTCAAATAAATCAAGTAGTTCTGATATCTGTGAGGTTCTGTCAAATAGCTGAAATAATTTAGGTCGCATATATTTACTACATGCATTTGTAACAATGAAAATATTCGAAGCATGTAATACGTAGCCATCGAAAATTAGTATGGTAATGTGGAATACTAGGGTTTGGTAATGTGGAATATGGCTTGGTAATGTGGTATAAGGCATGGTAATGTGGAATAATAATATTTTTGTTGGTTTGTACAAACATTGAACAATATTTCACAACCAAAAGTGCTACATAGTTTTTGTCTATAAAACATAGTACAGCGTTTTTAAAACTGGTGAACAAAAATAAATAATGTATATTCTATAAAACAACGATGGAACCAAACGATGTCAAAATTTGCATATCTATATATTTTGGTTTACTTGCACAAATCGCATATATAAATATCTTTCTTCTCCACTCCTCCACATTCTGCATGCGCCCAATTGTTACAGATCTCACATCTAACCCAGACTTCCCCGCGTACATCTTCTGAAAATTTTCCTTTGCAAAATATGCAGCTTGCATCACCACTGGTATTTTGAATGGAGATATCATTTTCGTCATCTGAAGAGTCGTGAACCGAGGGAGTGCAACTTGATTCCGAACTACTTATTGAGAGTTTTTTTTGTCTGTTGGATGGATGACCTTTAGAGCTAGTTGCTTGCCTAGATGAAGTAGTGCATGGATTAGCCAGATTTCTCTTCACTTCTTTTTTCTTGTTATTTGAGATGCTTATAGAAGCTTCAAGTTCATCTTTGTTCGGTGTAGATGTAATGATTTTCGCTTTCCCTGATTTTCTTGCCCTATTGGATTGTTTCTTTTTTAGATTTGGTATTTTCATTATATCTTCAGGGAGTCCCAGGGTTTCTGATCCAGGAGATGTCTCTTCATTCTGGATTTGTTCTCTCAACACGGGTTCATCTTCTGTTTCTTTATGTTCACTATTATCTTCTGCTGCCAAATAGTCGTCTTCTGTGAAAACGTTGCGTCTTACTGGATAAAGGCCCGTAACAGCAAATCCCTTGACCGCGCGTTCTCCAGTTTGCACTTTCAGGTATGCCCTGCCAAATAGCTCAGATATGTCAAAATGAGTTACAGCTCTTTGATTTGCTCTTAAAAATATCCGGATTTCTTCACTGTAATACGTTTTCAATGCTGACATCACAGTTTTATCTAGAGGTTGTAACTTGTGGGTAGTTTTTGGAGGTAAACATAAAATAGTTACATGCTTTTCTCTAGCTTTTAAAATCACATCCAAATTTCTGGTGTGACTGTAATGCCCATCTAGAATCAGCAATACAGGATTATTTTCGCTTGGCTGTGTAAAATCAATAAATTGATTGAATCAATCTGTAAAAAGATTTGATTGAATCCACCCGGATGGATGAAAGCGAAATATTGTCCCCGGTGGTGCTCCTTTTTTAGTTGTTCACTGCCCTTCTTTCTTGGAAAAATTATCATTGGTGGCACAAAGTTGCCAGCTGCGTTCATAGACAAGACAACTGTTATTAAAGATCCACGTTCAGCTGAAGTTAGCGCTCCGACTTGACGCTTGCCCCTTACAGATATGACATGGGGACACTTTGACTGTACTATGCAAAGGCCACTCTCGTCAACATTATAAATCCTATTGGCCTGGGATTTTTTCTCGTCCATCAAGTTCTCCAGGATGTCAAAAAATTCAGCAACCTTATGCTTGCAGAATCCAGTTGCTCGAGCTATGGAGGTGCCGGTCGGTTTCCTAACACTAAGTACATGTTCGTGCCTTTTTAAAAACCTTTTGAGCCAATCTTTTCCTGCTGATTCACTGAGCAGTGAAAATGGGTTAGGAATATTGTTCAGTTTTGCCAACTGAAAGGCTATTGAACGCACATCCCTTCTTGTAGGACCAAAATATTTCTTATCCATCATTATAAGATATTCAACCAGCTTTTGCTCTAATTCTTGCGATAATATTGGTTTTCTTCCTAGTTTATGTTTTCTTAGATTTTGATCATCTTTATGAATTTGACAATATCTGAAGAGGGTAGCCCGTGGAACGCTAAAAGTCTTTGCAGCGAGAAGGTAGCCCATTCTTTTACTCTGTACTGCCTTAACTGCTTCTAACATATTATTTTCTGACCAGTTGTGTTGTTTTATTCCTTTAGAAGGCATTTTCTGAAATGAAACAATACATATGGTCAAAAACATAAACAAATTCAATATTCTTAAGCAATAGGTCCGATAATGTGGAACACTCGTATGGTTGATATTGTGAAATATTCCACAATACCATCCCACCTTAACTTAATCTCAAGTTTACAGCTAGCATGTATAAACATAGATTTGATAATGAATTCACACATAACTTGATAATGCATGTATCTGAGCCTTAATAACAAATAGTAATAATTAGAACAAAGTTGTACTTTACCTAGAAATACACAAAAATTGCAGCCAGTTCAATGTTTCGATAATCACGTTTACCGGTTTTACCAACTTTTTTGAGGTTATGCGCGTTAATCGATAAAATGGCTTGTATCAGATAGTTACGCTACTAATACAAGAGTAAATAATGCCATCGAAGTGCAGATGCCGCTACTAGTTTTGAAGATATTTATCTATTCCACTCTACCTACCTATTTCACATTCACCAACTTTACTCTACACATACTTCGTTATAATGTATACGTGTAGTAAGTGTGGAAAAAACTTTACGCGGTCGGATAATTTACACCGCCATGCAAGAAATATTTGCAAAATAGAACTTGAATCCTACCAGTCAAGCTAAGAAAATCAAGCTGGACAGCTCACCTGAAAACATGATTTGTCCATGCTGTAACATAACGCTTCTGAAAAACCGAATGACCACCCACACAAGAACATTACAACATAGAACAAAATCAGCTGTGCCAATGAGTGATGGTGTAAGACTTATCTACAGTGCATTCAGATGCAGAATTGCCAGTTACAGATTCAGTGCAACAGATGCATATATCAACTTTCAAGACTTTTTCCGCAACATCCAACAAAATGTGCTTGATGTTATAGAAGAGAAGCTTCTAGTATATAAAGCGTTGAAGGTGAATATGGAGGTGTTTGGAAAATATGTGTTACAAAGCAAATATGTCGATACAACCAACAAAGTAATAGATATGGGAGTAGATCTACCTATTGTTTACAAGCATTTCACTGACGAGATTATATCACAGTCATCGGAGTTTGATGAAAAGGATTCTGGTAAGTTATTTAGATAACAAATTCAAATCTTGTAATTCTCTCAATTAAGGTGATTGTTATTATCATTATTATTAAATTCAAGAGACTAATAATCCTTTCATATTGTTTTCAGGATGGGCCATAGAAACTGTTCTGTTTGCTGAAGTGTATATAAATAAGTTTTCACCATTTGGAGGACCATCTTTCATCAAGTTGCCACATTTTATCGAGAAAAAGAAGGCAATTATCAACGTTTAAAATAAAGATGAGTATTGTTTCGCTTGGGCTGTGACATCTGCACTGATGCCAGCTCACGCTCACGCATCACAAACATCTTCCTAGCCGCACTTCTCTACATTCCTGAATGTTGATGGTATGACATTTCCAGTTAATCTTAAAGACATTTCAGTGTTTGAAAAAATAATACTATATCCATCAATGTTTATGGGCTCGAAAAGATAAATAAGAATGGTAATATTACTTATGAAGTAGTAGGAACATTGAGATATGCTCAAAAGAAGTTAAAATTTCATGTTAATCTACTGTATTTAACCGATGATAAAGGAAACGGTCACTATTGTTGGATAAGGGATCTTTCACGAGTAGTTTCACACCAGATAAGTTTAAATGGACATAAGAAATATTTCTGTGATGGTTGTCTGTTACGTTTTTCATCTGAAAAGTTTCTTGATATCCATCAAAGAAATGATTGTGACCATGTTTACACAAAAACCCCTACTGAGAAATTACGAACTGATGAATATGGTAAACAGGTCCCAGAAAACATAATTAAATTTGAAAATTTTGAAAAGCAAATGCCAGTACCTTTTGCCTATTTTGAATCTCTATTAAAACCTATTGATAGCTGTGAACGAAATCCAGAACAGTCTTACACAAGTGAAACCCACATACATGAACCATATACATTTTCATATTTAATCAGATCATCGTTTGATTCAGAGGTGGTAAAGTTTGCTTTGTATCGGGGTAAATACGCTTCTAAAAAATTCATTACGGAATTAGAAGCAGATTTGAAATTCCTTTATTTCAAATATATGAAGGATGTAACTCCAATAATTCCTTTAACATCGGATGAGCAAAATGAATTTGATATAGCTACAACCTGCAATATTTGTGAGAAACCATTTTTAGGAGAAGATATAAAAGTCCGCGATCATTGTCACATAACGGGTAAAGTAAGATCCGGTGCTGCACATTCCAAATGTAATTAAAATTTCAAGCTACCAAACTACATACCTATTATTATGCATAATCTGAGTGGGTATGTCTGTCATCTATTTATCAAACAATTATCTTCCCATGGAGATAATATAGATGTTGTAGCACAAAATAAGGAAAAGTATATCTCATTTTCAAAAAGTCTATATATGCATGATTATATCGATAAAAGTGGTACAGTAAAAAAAAGTTCATAAAAATGAGGTTTATTGACAGTTGTCGCTTTTTACCGGGATCCTTACAGGCGTTATCAGAGAGTTTGAATGATGAGGATTTCATTGAGACTAAAAAGTACTTTACTGATCCAAGGGTGTTTAATATGATGAGACAGAAAGGCGTCTTTCCATACAGTTATCTTGATAATTCGAGAAGTTCGAGCAGAAAAATCTTCCATCCAAAAGAGAGTTTTATGATAATTTGAACGATGAAGATATATCTGAAGCAGAGTATCAACGAGCAAATGCTATTTGGAAAACTTTCACCTGTAAGAATCTAGGTGAATACTCAGATGTTTATTTGCGGACGGATGTCTTACTGTTATGTGATGTGATTGAGAAGTTCAGAAATAACAGTTCGAACATTTATAAGATTGATCCAGCGCAGTATTATACGAGTCCTGGATTATTCTGTGATGCGATGTTGAAGTTTACCCGTGTAAGTTTGACTCTTTTAATAGATATTGATATGATACATTTTTTAAAAAAGGTATTCGCAGTGGTATAAGTCAGTGCAGTGATAGAATGCATGAGGCAAATAATAAATAGTCACCAAACTACAATCCATCCAAAGAATCCACGTTCATAGCATATCTTGATGCGACAAACCTCTACGGTGACTCAATCTCATCGCTTCTTCCTACAGGAAATTTTGAATGGATGAATGACGGGGAAATGTCCGCATTTGAATTAGAAAACGTGGAAGAACACGGTGAAGATGGGTATGTTTTACAATTTGATGTGCGGTATCCTGAAAGCTTACACGATTCCCACATCAACCTTCCCTTTCTGGTAGGAAGTATGATCCCACTTAACGCTAAGACGAAAATTCCTAAACTAATACCAAACTTATACGATAAAAAAAGTATGTTGTACATTATCCCGTGCTTCAACAAGCCATAAAGTACGGTTTGCAAGTAACCAAAATCCACAGGGTCCACAAATTCAAGCAATCGTTATGGTTGAAAGAATATATTGACCTTAATGCATCGATGAGGAATAAAACAAAAAATAAATTTGAGAGGGACTTTTATAAGTTACTTAATAATTGCATTTTTGGCAAATCTTTAGAGGACGTTTTCAATAGAAGACTAATTAAACTTAAAACCCATTGGGAAAATTTACGCAACAACATTGGTGGGGAGCCTTAATAGCGCGTCCAAATTTCAAAAGTTGTTCCATATTTCACGAAAATTTAGCAGCAGTTCACTTAGGAACCTTGAACGTGTGTTATTTCAAACCGATATATCTAGGATTTTGTATATTAGAATTATCAAAGATGTAATGTATGAATTCTTCTACGGATTCCTCAAAAGTCATTTCCATGATAAAATATATATGTTGTATTCTGACACTGATTCGCAAATTCTAAAAATACTCACCGAGGATTTCTATGAGTTCAGTAGGAATCATATCAATGAATTTGACACATCGAATTATGAGAACAATGAATTCAATATTCCAGTGAATCATTCGATCCTCGGTAAAATGAAGGATGAGTTTCTAGCGGATCCAATAATTAGCTTTTATGGGACGGGTGCAAAATATATATTAGGTCAGTTAAAAGTGAAATGAAAAAGGCAAAGGGCGTTAAGAAGTCTGTGATACGGAAGCAGCTATCTGGGAGTGACTATAAGAGAATAATCGAAGTAGGTTGGGGGGGGGGGGGGGTAATTGAGAAAGATGCATACTTTTAAAAGCAAATTACATGATGTGTTGATGTGTATACGAGGTGAAAAATAAGGTTGCGATAGCACATCATGATGATAAAAGGTTCATTATTCCTAACACCACAAAAACTTTACCTTGGGGACACTCTGACATTGAGTTTTACCAGACTGACCCCTCGTTGAATGTTAAACATGCTATAGGTGCAATCAATGATATTGCAGAAGGCATTTTTCCTGAAAATGGTAATATTAATAAAATTAATGTTAGAGGAAGTTTGTAAGTATTAGATTTACGTTACGTCAAGCCTGTACAGGTAAATAAAAGCAACATGTAGTAAGAAAATGAGATTTATTTCACACTTACAAAAACATTTAATAGGAATGAATGAGTCCATTTTGGATAGACCCATCAAAAGCATTGTAACTGAAGCCTGAGTCATGAATAACTAATGCATACACCTTGGTGTGGAATAGAAATGCAGATTTCCTGGTCTCAAATTCCAAAGATATGTCGACAGTTGAAAGTTCGAGATGATCAGGCTGATGACCGCAATCAATAACGAAAAGCGGATTGTCACTAAATTCTTTAATATCCATCATAGGTTCAGGAATGTTCAGGTTGTAGTATGTTTTTTGAAAGTTCTCAAATGCATAATAAGCTGCGGTGTTGAGCTTTTTTTCGAAATTCAAGTTCCACCTTTCATATCGGAATACTTGGTTGTTCAACTTCAAGCGAAGCGAGTTAACGTTGGCATTTATGAACTTCGTTATATCCATCGAATGATTGTCTTCAACTGTAAAATGTTGAAATCCAATGATAACGAATAGAGGTGACTCTCTAATTTACTGGTTGTTCTAATTGCCCAAACATCCGATGATGTAGAACGAAGAGATGGAAGCTCATAGAGATCCCAAGATCGACATGCTACCTTGATCCTTGAGCTCACATGTTTATTCAACCTTTGCAGAAGCTTGACTTTGTAACAAGTAACGATCTTCCGGAACGATGTTTTGAACCTTCCATTCAATCTTGGATATAGTCAATTCAACATCACATCCACCTACATAACAGTTTTTGAAGCATCTTGCAATAACCAACAGAAGCTCACGTTTTATATTTAGAACCCCTTTGTTGTAGTCTTCTGCGAATCCCATTATATGTTTTAGGGGTATCCTACCACTAAAAACTTTGCTTTTGTCATCATATATCGCCGAGCTCTCGGCACTTAAGGTCCAACCACTACATAAAAGTGTATGCATTGTACTTTTACCATGTGACACCATCGTTTTTATAGTTGAAGTTATCCCTGGATTCCGAAGTCCAAACTTTTTCGCCACCCATTTGTAGGGAAATTTTTTGAAATAAAAAGTCCAATGCATTGTTTGATAAGTAGCAGGGTTTCGTAGCGTCGCTAGGCGTAAATGTTCCTTCGACGTAAATATAAATGTCAGCTATATTTAAAATAAGATCTTGGAAGATTATAGGGATGAGAACTATATCTGAATTCTTGAAATATGGTGATACATATGGTTTGTATGTGTATTCTTGTAGGCTGGCTAAGGAATGATCTATGATGGGTTCCTCAAAAACACCCAATTTCTCATTTGATACGTGTAGAACCATATTGTTTGATTAGTTTCAGTGCTATAGACTCCAGGAGCTTGCGATTTTGCAGTGAAATATTCGATGCTGTGACTTTGACGATGGTTGAACGACGAATAACGGAATTTCCATTGGTTCTTCGTGTTTTATGATTAGTTGTGCGACCTTTTTCTACATTTTTCAAATGATATATATCTAGGTTATATAGAAATCCCATCGTCTTCAGCTGGCACTAGACAGACGACGCAGTTCTAATTTGACTATAATTTTTTCACCACGGAAATTGACCAAATTCCCGACGTCATCCAAAATTTACAGTGTGATGTTATCAATAAACTGGCGTCCACGCGGTTTAACGCTCATATATATTATATTCTGAGGCTTCTTTGTTAATTTAAATCCCGGTTCAACGACTATATCAAACTCATACAAAGCGAGCATTTCATTGCCATTGTAATAAGCTCCTGATATTAATCCACAGTCGACTCTTATTATCCTGATGGGGGTTATGTTTACAGGTAAATTCGATGTGTAGATTTTGTTTCTGGGAAAAATTTTGTTCTTAAATCCAAGCATAGTTGCCATGGAATTGGACAGAGCAATATCGAATACAGGATGAAGTTCACACTTCAAAGTATTAGAGTTGGCTTTTAAAGAGAACATTTCATAAACTTTGTTTTCATATCTCTCTTTATATGTATCATTCATTGATATTATTTCATGTTGTATGTATTTATTGATATCTTCGATTTCATAAACACCTTTAGGAAGGGTTACCACATTATCTCGTCACCCTCGTGAGTAAGAGATATTTTATTATGTTGATCATCAATATTGTATATGGTGTTGTATGGATAGAAGCCAATCAAGCCCAGACCGTATTCAGCACTTATATTCAACTCGATTGGTGGATAAAGATTAGCAGACAGTTTGCTAGTGTAACCTGATAGAGTAAATGTATTAGACATGACTGAAGAGTTGATGCATGAAAACATGGTCTTATATAGGTTAACAAATATTTATTGGTTACAACAGTTGCTTGATAATATTTTTCTTGGTGGTGGTCCATCTGCTTCATCATCACTCATGCTTATTCCATGGTGTTCCCAGCAGAATTGGAATCGCTGTATATCAGCGTCCTCCTTCAAATGCTCCAGCAGTTTGTGCCATACATGTGCTATTTCATTTGGCGTGCAGCATATGAGTACCTCTTTCGGTATGTGTGCAAGTTCATCTCGCGTCATATTCAACAGGCTTCTCTCCCTTGAAAAGGCTTTAAGAGAGTCTCTAATCTTTTTCAATCGTTCGTGATTCATTGTCTTCAGCGCTCTGATCTTTTCTCCTTGGGTGGGGGTAGATAGCCGAAACTATCATAGTACCATACAACCATCCCACGTTTTATATACGAAACCCAATGTGACCCATCCCCACTCTTGATATCTAAATTAATTATGACTGATTCATTCTTCAGCGGACCCTGCTCGGACATTTCATCGCGCATAAATACTCCTTTGAAATATGGTATTTTTAGCTTCCTAGCATAATAGATTAGATCTATATTTGTTAGCGGTCGAGGGGGGAGGGTTTTCAATAGTTTTTTGAATTCCTTAACTTGATGAATAACCCTAATCCTTTACGGTATGGTTTCAGAAAAAGACCATCCCCAATTCGATTCACATTAGAGGAAGGTGGTGAAGTGCGTTTATTTTGAATTTGCTCGCGCACTGAACTGGCTGTTTTAGCAGCTCTTGTTATGTTGGCAATAACCCCAGCTAGACTACCTAATGCTGAAAGACTGGCAAAAATTGGTATCAAAGGAAGGATGCCTCCAACCTTGGGAATAGGTATAACTCGTGGAAGCTGAATCAGCCGTTTTCCACCGATGGATCTGATATGCTACCGGACAGCAAGTAATGCAGCGGAAGTCGCCTTTGCTAATACTCTCTTGTCTGGTTTACTGTTTGAGAATCTTTTCATGTGTTTGCATACTTTATTCACCATCCCGATCCAAAATGTACCTTTTTCTGTGATCTACTTGATTTTCTAGGGATAGCTTTTCTTCCTTTAGGTCCACGACATGATGCTAGACCCATTCCGCGTGACGTTTCACTTTCATGATATTAGTAACTAACCAAGCGGCAGCTTTTTCTCCAAGTTTTGCGTCTCGAGATTTGACTGTTTTCCAAGCTTCTGCCTCAAGTTGGTAATCAGCAACGTGTCTCGCTGTCAAATCAGGTTTCTGATATTCAATATCATGCTGTAAGCATGCAGCGTCTAATTTATGAATGCCTTTCTGACCTAGGGCTAACCTTTTTTGAAGACGTGTCTCTGGACCGCAGAGCTGGTAAGAAGGTAAGTGTACTTCGAATGGTAACTTATCTATCAGCGTATCGACAAAACCACCACCACCAGCTTTTGGAGTACTTTGATATCTTCTAATGCGAAGTAGTGGCATTTAAATAAATAAGTTATACGCAATTGCAAGTTATATATGCTCAATTTATTGTACAATGAGGGTCACAAAACAGAAACAAGAATTATGTATCAGCAATATTGATACAAAAGTAGCGGATATATAAAACAATGCTATGCAGCGGCATGGAAGTCTCCTCCCATCCACAATCCGCTGTATTATTGTTAGGCCATCGAACTGTGGAAAAACCAACGTATTAATATCGTTACTGCTACATGAGAATGGACTCTTCTTTGAAAACGTCTATATATTTTCAAAATCATTGAATCAACCGAAATATCAATTTATACAGAAAGTACTAACTTCGGTCAATGGTTTAGGATATTATGCATTTAACAAAAATTCTGATATCTTACCGCCATCGAAAGCCAAGGCGAATTCAATATTCATTTTTGATGACGTAATGACAGAAAATCAGACTTCTATTCTAGAATACTTCAGTATGGGTAGGCACAAAGGTGTGGATTGCTTCTATTGTGTGCAGAGTTACTCCGGGGTGCCCAAAAGACTAATAAGAGACAATGCTAACCTAATTGTCTTATTCAAGGTGGATATAACACAAATTTATCTCATGTTTTCTCCGATCAAGTAGCACCTGATATGACCTTTAAGCAATTTGAAGACATGTGTGCAATGTGCTGGAGCGATAAATATGGATTCTTAGTTATCGATAAGGATAGCGAACTGACAAGTGGTCGTTACCGGAAGGGATTTGATAGTTTCATAAATCCACTGGGACTGCATCTAGTACGCATCGTGGTGGATGAAAAGATAGCAAAATGAAACGGCAGCAGAATAACACCGAAGTGGCACTCAAGAAGGAATTAGTAGATGCAGTAGAGTCAGTCGCTATATGTTCGAAATGGTTGTATCAATAAAAAAAATACAAATTCTTTAAATCTTGTTTTAACAAATTAACCTAGACACATTGATTTTTACATTCATTCAAAACCCTTGAACCCACCCACTTCACTCTCCCTCCACTGCTAGAAGACGAAGACACACGTATCACACATCGTCTCTGTGAAAAGTGTGAGTTCTTTGTGTTTTTTGGGTGTCTTTATCGATCAAAGTCACGTCAGCCGTTGCAGTGTGGCATGAAGTTGTAGCCGAGGTATTGTTAGCTGGTTGCAGTGAGGTAAACAACTGAATTATTAGAATTTAGAATGACTCTCATCTGCCTAATATGTGAAACAGCTGTTTCTCGGAAACAAGCATCCATTTTTTGCGGCGGACCGTGCAAAAAGTGGTACATGTTTCTTGTGTTTATGCTGGTACGGTGGACTTACCTACACTTATGAAACAGATTCCTGGGCTGTCTTGGAGGTGTAATGACTGTCTTTCTTCTGATGTTTCTATAGAGGATACAGATCTTGGTCAACTTGTTGAAAGCAAAATTAGTGATGCCTTGGATTCGATTGTCGTACAGATTAATGAACTTAAGTCGACTGTTGAACAAGCTGTTCTGCAGAATCCTGATGCTTCAAGTGTTAACAAACCGATCTCATATGCCAGTGTCTTAAGGAATAAGACGATTCCTGCTGTCATAATTAAGCCTAAAGAAGCACAAGATACGTCAAAAACGAAGACTGATATTCTACAGAACGTGAATTTAGTTGCTGATGAAATTCATATATCCAAGATAAAACACGTCAAAGATGGTGGCGTCCTCATTGGCTGTAAGAGTGCTGAGGGCAATGTCAAACTGAAGAAATTAGTCCAAGAAAAAATGGTTGAGTCCTATGATGCCAAAGATGTTGGTGGTGTCAATCCAAGGGTTCGTATTATTGGTATGACCTCGAATATTCTGCTGAGCACCTGCGCAATCAATTAATCAATATGAATGATGTACTTATTAGTAATCCGAATGATTGTAAAATAATAAAAAATCTTCCTTTCAAGCGCGATAATGCAAAATATCAGTTCAAGTAGACAAAACCTCATATGTCAATATGCTGAAGGCAGGCAATGTATTCATTGGTTTAGACTGCTGTAGAATTTTTGATGCTGTGCAAGTATCTCGAACGCTTCAACTGCAATGGATTTAATCATTCTTCTAAATTATGTAAGAAAGAGCGCTCGTGCCCGAGATGTGGGGAAAACCACGCTGTCAAGGATTGCAAGTCTGCTACTTTGAAGTGTATCAACTGCGTTTTTCTACGAAGCAAAGGTGAGCTTAACGTTTGTACTAATCACGCCGCCTGGGATATTAAAAATTGCTCCTCTTACTTACAAGCTTGTAGCAAGTTTCGAGCCGATCTGTTAAGTATAAAATAGCAACCAATTGCCTCTGACTCTGGTTCTTGCACCTTGGAACCCACAACTTCTTCAAAAAACTCGCCAGAGCTCTCTGTTTATTATCAAAATGTAAGAGGCCTGAGAACTAAAACTTCTGCTTTCTACAACGGCACGTGTGCAGCTGATTTTGATTGCTATGCCCTATCTGAGACCTCGTTGGACTCTTCAGTTAATAATTCTGAATTATTTAACCAGAACTACAATGTGTACAGAAAAGATAGAGATTTTTCTCTTGTCAACAAAACACGTGGAGGTGGCGTACTTTTGGCAATCAAGGATAAATTTTTCTCAGTCTGTTTAGATGTGCAATGTAACTTACCTGCTGTGGATTTTCTTGGAGTAAAAACTGTATTTGGGAAAAGAAGTTTATGCATTTTGGTGTTGTATATCCGACCTTCGGAACCTCTTTCTACATATGAAACTGTTTTTGAATTAATCTGTGCAATTCATTCCTTGCATGATGCCAATATTTTGATTCTCGGTGATTTTAATATTTCTAGTTATGCGTCATATGTGCTAAGTGGTGAGGAATCTACTGTGGTTAGTAGTTTGCTTAACTTTTGCGTCTTTTATTCTCTTGAGCAACAGGTATAATTAAATTAAATTTTTCTCTTGTCAACAAAACATGTGGAGGTGGCGTACTTTTGGCAATCAAGGATAAATTTTTCTCAGTCTGTTTAGATGTGCAATGTAACTTACCTGCTGTGGATTTTCTTGGAGTAAAAACTGTATTTGGGAAAACAAGTTTATGCATTTTGGTGTTGTATATCCCACCTTCGGAACCTCTTTCTACATATGAAACTGTTTTTGAATTAATCTTGAGCAATAGGTATAATTACGTTTTCAATTCTAACATGAGACTTTTAGATATTGTTTTATGCAATTTCATGTGTAGTGTTAATAAATGCAGCGATCCCATACTGATGGAGGATCAGCATCACCCGGCGGTAGTTGTCTCCATTAATGAATTGCTTCCCAAGCAAGAAATTCATTTCGACAGAATGGTGCCTACTTCTTTCAACTTATGTATGATCAACTATTCTGCACCAATTGGAACTTTCTCGATAGCATTCATGATGTTGAGGAAGCGCGTAAACAATTTTATGCTGCATTGAATGTAATTTTTTCTTTGTGTGTCTCAAAGTACTCTACCACCAGATGTCGTAGACAATCCCCGCCTTGGTTTAATGGTACCATAATAAAGGATATCAGAACTAAGGAGATATTGTTTAGGAGGTTAAAGTTAAATTCTGATGAAATGACCTTGCATGATTACAAAGCTTTGAGACTCAAAATTAAAAAGGATATCGATATTGCTTATAAAGACTATGTAAAAAAAGCTGAAGATGATATAAAGCGAGACTGTCAAAGTTCTGGTCATTTGTCAATAGCAGAAGAGGTCATGGCTCTATACCTAAGAATATGACTTATAACGGTTTGGATATAAGTGAGCCTCAAGATATTCTAAACAGCTTTGCTGACTTTTTCAGTAAATTTTTTATTGCTAGCTCAAGTGGCAAAACCAACTCCACTCAGTCAACTGGAAGTAGTCCTTTAACAGTGACTGAATTTAATGTGAATGAGGTTTATGATGCCTTGAGGAGACTAAAGCCTAAATTAACTTCTGGTCCAGATGGCATTCCGGCTTTTATATTGAAAGACTGTGCATCTGTATTTGCGAAGCCTTTAGCAACGATATTCAACTTATCGTTGCAAAATGGTAAATATCCATCATCGTGGAAAGTGTCAAAAGTTTGTCCTGTTTTTAAAAATAAGGGTAACAAGAGCGATATTGAGAATTATAGACAAGTCACGATAATTAACAACTTTTCAAAGGTTTTTGAGTTTCTTATTATATGATGCAGTTTACTGGCATGTGCATAATACTTTATCAACTCAACAGCATGGCTTCATAAAAAAACGATCAACTGTGACAAACTTATTCTGCACTGCTCAGTTTATATCTGGAAATATAGATTTTCGTACTCAAGTGGATGTCATTTATACTGATTTCTCAAAGGCCTTTGACCGAGTAGATCACGCCATTCTTCTTAACAATTTAGCTGACTTTGGTGTCATTGGCCATCTTCTCCTGCTGATTAAATCTTATTTATCAAATAGAGTATCTTTTGTTTCGCACAATGGCTTTAAATCTAACACTTATAAAATTGCATCAGGTGTTCCCCAGGGGTCTGTTCTGGGACCTTTATTTTTCATTATTTTTATAAATGACATTGAACTACAATTGGATGTCACTTTTCTTTTATATGCGGATGACCTGAAGCTTCTCTGTCCCATTCAATCTCTAACTGACTGTGAAAAGTTACAGCATAACGTAAACATGCTCAACTGCTGCAGTCAGGAAAATAGTTTGCCATTGAATGCTGAGAAGTGCAATGTGGTCAGTTATACGAACAAGACACAGTCGATTATATTTCGCTATAATATTGGTGGTGTGCCCCTTAATCGATTGCATGAAATAAAGGATTTAGGTGTCATTTTCAACAGTAAATATTGCTTCAATGGTCATATGGATTCAATTATTGCAGAGAGTTACAAAAAGCTGGGCTTCATCATACGCTGTGGTTGCGAGTTGCAGGATATTAAAACAATTAAGATTCTACATATATAACTCACTTGTAAGATCGAAGCTTGAATATGCGGCAATTATTTGGCAGCCCTCCTACTGCTTTTGGATAGACAAACTCGAAAATATCCAACGGCGTTTTTTGAAGTACCTTTATTTTAAGGAAAATGGCGTCTACCCACCGATTGGCTATCCACAAGAGTCTTTAGAAGAAGCTTTCGATTTTCAAGGCGTGATAAGTGCAGTGTTAAGTTCGTGACTGATATATTGCACAATCGTATTGATTGTTGCAATATATTGCATGATTTTAATTTCCTTGTCCCGCGTTTGAATGATAGACAATGCAATACCTTCTATTTGCCTACCCCTAGAACAAATATTTTAAAGTTTTCTCTATTGTAAGCTCATTTGGTAAAGCGAATGACATTGCGGATCATTTAGATATATTTCTCTGATGTCCTATCTGCTGCGTGGTTCCTTATGATGTCTTGTCTGCTATTTGCTATTTAATTTTTTATCTACACTGGCATTTTTGTAAATATTTGTATATAGTATCCTTGTGATTGAACTTCCTACATTTGTGTGTAATATGTAAGATATTGTGTATTTTTGATATTTGGACTTTATCCTACTCTGTAATTGGCTTTGTAGCTGTTGGGTAGAGTATAAATAAATAAATAAATAATAAATAAATAAATAAAAGATGGCGCACCCTATATATATATATATATTGTATATCTTTGTGTCGTCAGTATTCAAGGACGAGCAGGTCGGATGTGTAGAGGAGAAACAGCAAAGGTCCCAAGAATTCCCCGGGGAGCTCCGCTAGCCACCGCCCTACTGGTAGACAGTGAATCGCCTACCCTCATCCAACTTGTGGAGAAGGCGTGCGTGTGGTACTCGATCGAACGCCCTCGAAAAATCTGGCTATATTACTCGAACATCTTGAGACATGTTGATATCTATCATATGAATCTAATCGTTGACACATTCGAGCAGGTTAGTGATGATACAGCGACCTGGCAAGAAACTATGTTGGTGGTTGGCAAGATATTGTTTTCGGTAGAAAACTTGAGCATTACACCAAGTATGTGAAGCTACTCTGGAATAGCATAGGATGACAGCTTTCACAACAGGGTTGCTCTTACCCTACAAATGCGTGAATCAAACTAGGGTGTTCCCATTTTGTTTCTGGCTCAGGGATGGTGTCTAACGAATCCAATACCAGTGAGATGGTCTTGTATGTTAATGAGTACTTCAGTCTTATTCTTGGAGTCTGTTCAATTTGCAAGTGTTGAGCTTCACCGTCTCATCGTGCCGGCTTTCGAAATTACGAACAGCTGTCTATTGACAAAATATCAGCTTTTGTGTGTTATCAGCAGTGGGATTTTCTAATTAGGACTGATGTGGTTTGACGTTCTATGTCGAGTTACTATAAGGAAACCTTTCCTGCACGCATCTTAAGAGCCCAACACTATGATTTTTCGAGATACTTCATATCAGTTTTGGAAGAGAGCTTCATATTTTGCAGTTGTGCCTCTCTACGCGGTGTTAAAAGACCAAATAATGCTTAGGCACTTATTAAAACACACTTTGGGGGAAATCTTTGGTGGACATTTTTTTACTGGATTCGAGTTACCTTCCGAAGTATTTATCTCGAAGTAATGGAAGTACTTATTCGAAGTACCGCTCAATGTATTGATGAATGGGCCTCCTATAACTTCGAAGATTAACTTGTTAATTATGGAGAAATCAAAGTATTCAAAGTACTATCATATATATATATATCTATATGACTATTTGAAATACCTAGAATCAAAGTCCTTTTGAAGTGTTGCCTGTCAAGTATCAATTTACATTGACAATAACATAAAATAGTTTTTCCTATTCTCCTGGGATAACTGAGTCAGAAATATGTATTAAGTCCGAGATGATAATATTATGCAACTTTAGGGCTTTTTTCTCAACAGTTTAGACTATTCAGTCTAATTGGCCCACTTATAGGAACGTAGTCAGTGGAGGAGTACTGTAATTCCGTCAACAGTAGCTCAAATAGATTTTTTCACACAATGTCGAAAACCGACATAATAAGCATAGAGTTTCTGAACGAAGTTTGATCGATAAAATATGTAACAATAGAAAAGCTGATACGGAACTAAAAGCTCCCCATATTCTGTTCATTGTCCCTATCTGGTTATTTGTGAATTCCATGTATTTGTTGCCGAAATGTTCTTGAAAAAGTACCTCCTACTGCACGACGATAGAGGTAAGGGTTAGTTTACATTAGAATGTTGAGTAATCAAGAAGGGCATATATAGAGAGCTTTCATATTTTCGTCTTCCATTTTTTGTGGTGAACAGAGGAGAATGCGTGTAATTCTTTGTTAATGTCAGATGTTGCTGAGCTATGTTATAAGCTTTTCAACAGTGTTGAAGTCGAGTCAAAGATGATTAGTACAGTCAAAGGAAATGCTGGGAGAGAGGGAAAAGTTAAAGGTAAACTTTTACAAGAGATATACATTTTTTTATAAATTGCTTCACATTTAGCGTTACTTTCTATTTTTGAAAAACACTCCAGAGTAAAAGCAATTGAAAAATAAAATCTATAACTACCTATAATTTTCTTAAATAATTATTTTCAGATCCGTCTTTTTTTTGTTTTGCTGCATTTTCTAATGTTACTATATCCCGATTTCAAGAATAATACGCATAGATTGTCCATTCACTGTTTGTATTTGTACGTTACCCACATGATCGATACAGTAACTGATATCACTGAAAGGTCGAAGAAAGAGGTAGATAGGCCAATTGGCAGTAACACTATAAAAATATAACAATGTGTATGTGGTTATTTCACCACACCTCTTATCCGGTATATATATATTTCCATTATTTTGCCCTATAAATTAAACAACAGATTATAAACTAATGTTTGTTTTACTGACACTTATAGACTTAGTATAATATAAGTATTTATCAAGAGCTATTATAATCAGTGATCGAACATTGTTGACAAGCAGGTTTACACCAGAGCATTGCTGCAATCTGAAGATTTTTTTCCATGAAAAGGCCAAATAGTGCATTACTGATTCTGACAAAACCTATGTCTTTCTGATGTCAATGCACTGCATGAAAAATTGTACTAGAAGTTGATTCGAAGGTGTGGGAAGTAAAGAGTTAATCGACTTGACGTCATTTTTTGTAAACTGTGAGTTGAAGTTTGCAACATTTTTGAAAATTGTATGGCCCATTGGTGGAGGGGTTATTACCAAA